TTTATGAAATTTACAGTTTTGTAGTTTAATCGTTTGCTATTGTTCGTCGACTCATGACTTTTGCCTAAAAAATTGCATTCCACTACCGTACTTGGAACTAAAGCTGAATGAACTATCTCAAATCATAAATAGGAATCATACCTATCACAATTATATAAGTACAGTAACAAATATTATTTTAATTAGAAAATAATAATTTTTTTGTTTTGTGCCTTTTTATTCGATAGTTAAATTTGTAGTTTAATCATTTATTTCATATCAATAAGTGGTAACTAATTAAAATAAAATTACATATTTAATATAATTCTTATTACAACGACTATAATAATATTAAAATTTACTAAATTTAACTATTATAATATTTAATAACAATGAATTATATTTTAACAAATTTATTGGTTTTAATTAATTAATAATAATTAAGTGAAATGTAATAATTGATAAATTAAATAGCAGTTTGTAATATTTTATAATAAAAATATATCAACTAAAAAAGTTAGTTTGACTTTTTTTTTTAAAAAAAAAAATGTTTCATCCAACCACGCTTGTTTCATAGAAATACCTCRACAAATGTATAAAGCAAATCGCTTTTGGCTTACATCTCCCTTAAATGATTCAAATATCCAGTTACTAATAAGAAAATAAAGCAACTTTTGTTCAAGACTTCTAAAGTGATGCGAGCAGATTATGTGCACGGGGTAGTAGACGTAGTGGGAATATAGTATCCCTTTTATTGATCCATCAATTTATTTGCTTCGGTAGTGAACCTACTAAATTTACAAAGGGGTTTAATAGGAAACTCATTTCAATCAAAAACACGTGATTGGATTCAAATAAATACAAAATTACATGTCAGTGGCATATGGCATGCCAAAACCAAACAATAGATGAGCTTATGTAGTAGCTCAACTATTTCAACTAACACGAGGTTACTGAATGCTTAATACATTAAACTTTTTATCGATTATTATGTTTTTCTAAATTTCATCTAATGTAAAAATTTGGTTCTCATTCGAAACGTTGGTAAATAATCCAATAACAATTATCTAAATTCTAATACAAACTCTATCATAAATTTAAACAACCCAACTTTATAGAAATTATTTTGTATAATATTTTGGTTGATTTTATTTTTCTCATTTCCCCTAAGTAAACGAAAATTTAAAGAAGTATAAAATAAATCAATTTCCAATAACCATTGGAAAGAATTTAAAATTATTGTATTTTGGATTATATAAAATCTCTTATAGAAACAACCAATAACCATCGAGTATCGAAAAGTACGAAGTCTTCTCAAAATAAAGCTTGTGGGGTGACGCCTTGATTATTTTTGTTTTTTAAATGCGTAAATAAATCACTTAAATAACATAAACTGAGCCACTTAGGCACGTACAATAATTGAATAAATTAATATGAAAAATAAGACTTTCTATTTTGTTTATTATTAATTGAAAGGGCAGTACCGTACTTTAACATTTGTACATGACCACTTGTCCTAGGTTGGGACAGTGCGTGCATTTCACACGGAAGCGAAAACAAAATATATTATTTTTATTCAATTATCATCGTTTCATAATTTGTTTTTATATTGAATTTTTTTAAAAAAGGCCAATTAAAGTGGTATAAGGTATATATTTTATTTTTTCAAAGCCAGGTGGAATGGTGAATTTTAAATTGTAGATGATAACGTGGTCAATTCAACCCTATGGACATGTTATTATTAAAACTATGGTCAAAATACCAGTCAGTAATATTGCTAATTTGAGCATGTATTGTGTTATAATCTCCGATCAAAAGGTTAAAGAATCGAATACTCATCTCCACGTACTGTTAAACTAAAACAAAGTAACAAATTTTTATGTTTTGGTTAAATTATCATTTAAATTTCTATAATTTCATTGTAAAAAAAATAAATTATAGTTTCACCAAAATGTTGACTCTCACACATATGTATGTAGATGGTGGGAGAATGATTTGAACTTGTAATATATCTTTCTAATTGTCAACGTGAACCTAGTTTAACGGTAACTGATATGTACTCATTTTTTCGATTATGTTTAAGTTGATAGATTTATTATGCAATTGTTTTGTCTCTCAATAATATGAGACAAAAGACTAAAATAAATATAATGCAAGACCATTCGTCTTTTTTTTTTTTGCAAGTTAAAAATATACCAAAATAAATATATAATTTATTAATACTTCAACCCATTGAAGTATAAAGAAATAAAATAATTTAACGTCAAAACCTTTACGAAAATAGTTTAATTTCTCAATAAATATCAATTATTATTTTACGAAATTCAAGTGATAATTTTTCAATACGATAATTTAGGGTAAAAAATTTGAACTCACACCGTTATGGTTAAAATTTGATATATTAATCAATTAATTTGTGCTTAAACTAGCAAGTAATAGATACATTATTAATTATACATCACACAACGCTCACCTAACAAATAAAAAAATATATATAGAAAGGGACAATTTTAATTAGTTTAAAAAATGTTAAAGTTTAGCGTCGCGCATGAAAAGGACAACAAATGAATAATGGCGACAAACCAACGAATAACAAACAATTCTATTACTTTATTTATCCTTAAAAAAAAAAAAAGAATCTATTACTTTGATTAATTAAATATTACTTCTAAAATAAATAAGTATACCTGTTTCCACGGATCTCTAATTCTATATTTATTTATATATTAAAACAAAACAAATAAAGAATCTTGCAGGTCGCAGCTAATGCTATAGTGATTTTCAAAATGATTGATTCATATGTTTTTTCCAACTTTGATATAAATTTTCTCTTTATAAACGCCGGTAAGTCCAAATAATACCAATAACAATTATCTAAATTATAATACAGACTCCACCATGATTTTAAATAAACCAATTTTGTAAAAATTATTTTGTACCATATTTTGATTGATTTTATTTTTCTCATTTCCCCAAGTAAACGGAATTTCAAGAAATATAAAATAATCCAATTGGAAAAAATAACTATTGAGAGTGGGAAGGTTGCGAGATTTTGTCTTAACCATTTTAATTTGTTTAAATTTATAAAATATAAATAAGTAAAGTCTGTATGGATAATGCCTTGATTATTATTTAAATAAATCACTTAAATAACACAAAGTGAGGTACAATGATTGAATAAGTTAACATGAAAAATAAGACATCCTAATATTTTTATTAGTTAAAAGGGCAGTATCGTACTTTAATATTTGTACGTGGCCACTTGTCGTAGGTCGAGGCAGTGAGTGGATTTCATACGGAAAGGAAAACAAAATATATTATTTTGATTCCATCATCACAATTTAATAGTTTATTTTTATATTCGAAAATAAATTTATTTTTATATTGAAATCTTTTAGAGGCAAATCAAAGTTATATATATATATATATATATATATATATTTGAGGAAGAATATTGAGGTGTTTACTAACTACCATTAACATGGTAACTAAGATAAAATAATGCATAAAATATAATAAATTAATAACAGTCAATTTTGAAATAGTAGTTCCTACTTATTAGCCTTATTCTTTTATAAAATGAATGGTGAATTTTAAATCGTAGATGGCAATTTGGCTCATAACACCAAATGAATAGGTTATTATTAAAACTATTACGGCAAAAATACTGTGAGAATAGACCTCGAAATGCATTATTACCTCGATCCGATCGAATATCCATTTGTACATATTATTTTAATTTGAAGAAAAAATAACGTGAATGTTGATGTTCAGGTCCAATTATCGTTTAGATTTCTATTGTTTCCGTAAAACTTTGTTATATTCATAAATGGAAAAAAAATATTCATCCATGTATATTTAACATTTGTTTAATTGATAAATCCAATTCCCCGGTCTCATTTGTTGTGTTACTATTATTTTTTTAATTTTGAACTTCTATAAACAGAGAAGAAAGTCACATCGCCCCACTTATATATTTGAAATATGTCATGAATAATGTATCGTTGCGTTCATACCTATAAATTTTCAATTGAAATAATCCTTACCGCCTAACAAAAATTTGAGGAAAGGACACCATGTAAGTTATTTATAGTGACAAATGAAAAAAAAAAGATAAAAATATTTTATTGGAAGACCAAAATAGAACTTAAAATAAATACATCACCAAATATCAACTAACATATACTCTAGTCTATCATTTATAGAAAAAAAAAATCATACTATCTTAACAAAATTTTAACATACTTATTTTATTTTATTTATTTTTTTTGTTGTTGTTAATATTTGTTAACCAAGAGCATGTATTGAAGATACAACATTACTGTGAAATCATGTCTCTTAGACTATCAATGTTTATTATTATGAGTTTGAATTCTCCTACCTCATTTGTCGTGTTACTATTATTTTTTAGTTTTGAACTTGTATAGACGGAGAAGAAACCTTAACCACATAACCCTACTTATATATTTGAAATACGACATGAATAATGTATCGTTGCATTCATACCTATAAATTTTCAATTGAAATAATCCTGATCGCCTAATAAAAAATTTGAACACCATGTAAGTTATTTATAATGAAAAAAAAAGATAAAAATATTTTGTTGGAAGACCAACATATAACTTAAAATAAATACATCGCCAAATATCACCTAATATCTCATCAGCATTCCGTTTCGATTCAGAACATTTTAAAACAATCATATAAAGATGAAAGATCAAATAAAAATTAATTTAAAATTCATCGATCAAAAATATATTCTATCCGAATATTGTTTATTTGAATTCACGGTAGAATGTAATTTGACAGTATAATATAAAAAGAAAATTCTCAGTATATTCTCCAATGCCACCGTAGATAAATACCGAGAATAATGCGCCTGGTCTTCAGCGAAAGCACACGCTTTGGCTTTGAATTCGACGCGCAGCCCGAGCCTCATCAATCAATATCTGATTTCAACAATTTTCATCACTATAAAATTTGATTTTCCCACTGACCCATCTCCAATCATTCGAGTGCCAAAAGTTCCAGATTCTTCCCCGGAGATTCCAGGCTCCACCACGATCGTTTTCTTCGCCCTGCACATGCAGAATTCTCCCATTCCAAGTTCCAATACGTGATCATTGATCACCCTGGGATTCTCCTTCCGTTGATCTTCCAACCCCATGTGCCGTTTCTTTCATCCATCGGCTTTTGATCGTCGCCATAGTTCCATCTTGTCGCCAGTTTTAACTTCGATTTCTGCCATTGGGGCTACAGAGAGAGCTTCAGATTGACATTCACTCTGAGAAGGAAGTTTGTTTGTTCGTTTCGTTCCATTTGCCGAACAGAAGGGGAAGATGAGGGTGGTCAAGTCTCAGGTGTGGCAACCGTGTAAGAAGAAGAGGTCTTAATCGGCGGATTTTGACGCGAGAAAAGAGGGTGAGGGTGAGGGTGAAGCAGATAGAATTATCAGAGATGTCTTCCAGGTCCGTTAGTCATAGCAAAGCGCGGGTGGGGAGGTACGAGCTGGGACGAACCCTTGGAGAGGGCAGCTTCGCCAAGGTTAAGTTCGCTCGGAATTGCGAGACAGGAGAGAACGTGGCCATCAAAATCATCGAGAAAGATAAGATTCTCAAGCACAAGATGATCGGCCAGGTATAATTTAGTGGTTATTGTTAATTAATGGGTGATTTTACTGTATATTGTTTGGTTTGACTTTTTGGTCTCTTCTTGTTGGATTTTGACCCTCTGAATCCGAACCCATCATTCTATAAAAAATAGACAACTAAGAAATATCTAATTCGGTCTAAATTGAATTTAGCTGCTAAGGAGACTTTATTATGCACTGCGATGATGTGCCAATCCCTTTGAGATTGTACTAGATGATTGGTACAAATTGAATTCGTCTATGGGGCTTGTTTCCTTTCCGTTGTGTGTATCTGAGTGCGAGTTTAAGTTGACTTTTGACAGTAATACTAACTCTCTAAAATCAGTTTAAAGTAACTTTAAGCATTCTTAAAAGTTCTTAAAATTACTATTGACCATCTAAGTAAATACTATGAAAACTTTGGAAAAGTACTCTTCACCTTTTTCAAAAGACTCACCGATCTTACCTAAGAATCATTAGAAACAATCTAAGAATCATTTAAGAGACGGCCACAAATCCCAAATAATTCAAGCATGAATATGCATGTTTGACTAGTACATATTAAGAAACTGGGAAGTCTTTTATTCTTTTGTCGGTGAGTGTGCATTTAAGAACCATTTAGTAATTTGGTGCATGATCTGGATTATTGTCGACCGTTCTTTTCCCAACCGAAACCAACACTCAATTAGGCCACTGAAACACAGTCCTCCACCTCTGGTCTTTGAACTTCTGCTGAAAACTTACCAAAGTAATCTAAGTTTTGTTGGATAACCATTCTTTTAATTTGAACCAACAAATTTTGATACAATTTAACCGTTAACTATACTTTTGTATATATGCAGATTAAACGTGAAATATCAACGATGAAACTCATTAGGCATCCAAATGTCATACGCATGTATGAGGTTAGATAATGTTCACTTTTCACCTATGAATTTATTGTTTTTTTCATCTCCTTTTCTCAAATATCCTGTTGCATCTAATATGAGTCTATGACATTAGTTATATTCTTGTGCAGGTGATGGCTAGCAAGACCAAGATATATATTGTTTTGGAATTTGTAACTGGTGGAGAACTTTTTGACAAAATTGTGAGATATTTCCTGCTTTTTATCTTGCATTCATGCATCCAATTGCAACTGGTAGTTGAAGCTGCAAATATTTATTATTTTCCGTGATTCAGGCAAGCAAGGGAAGATTGAAAGAAGATGAAGCAAGAAAGTACTTTCAGCAGCTTATTAATGCCGTGGATTATTGTCATAGTAGAGGTGTCTGTCATCGAGACCTAAAGGTGCATAGAATGTTCTCAAATATACCATTTATTTGTCAATGTTATTAAATATTATTTTTATGAAACTGCATTCTAAATAGTCTTGGTAATAAAAATGGAGACAATGATATAGTTACTAAAGAGGTTTTTGTGTCTATGAACTTCAGCCAGAGAATTTATTATTGGATGCTAGTGGTGTTCTAAAAGTTTCAGATTTCGGATTGAGTGCTGTACCTCAACAAGTTCGAGTGAGCATTATGTTAATATTTATCGATTCCCGCAAGTGATTTAAAATTACATGCTTCAAATATTTGCATGTTTTTTAATTGATGGATTCATGAGTAATCCTTATCTCTCTCATCAGGAAGATGGATTACTTCACACAACATGTGGAACGCCCAATTATGTTGCTCCAGAGGTATATTGACTTTTCACTTGGAAGTATCAATTAGTTTGCTCACTTTTTTTTTAGTTCAACAAATGTTGGGGATTTCGAACCTCCCATCTTCTAGTTGAGGTTGAGTTATATTCAGGTTGACATTATTTTACTTAAATTTACTGTCGTGGTTGAATATTTACATAATAGGTCATCAACAATAAAGGCTACTATGGAGCAAGGGCTGACATATGGTCATGTGGGGTTATCCTTTTTGTTCTCATGGCAGGGTATTTGCCATTTGAAGAATCCAGTCTCATGGAATTGTATAAAAAGGTATTTATGCTTGGACACTTTTAATTTCTTATTAGTTCATTGTTCTTGTAAGTTATATTAAAAAGGTATCTGTGCAACCTGTGCTATTGTGCCATTCTTTTAAGATTTGAGAACGTAGTGTGAAATGTGAATGTCCAAATAAGGCAAAAAATTAATTGTGGTTTATTTTCTATAGATTACATCATAAGCTCAAACCATAGCATTTTATTTGTGATTACAGATTTTCAAGGCTGATTTCACGTGTCCGCCATGGTTCTCCTCTAGTGCCAAGAAACTAATCAAGAGAATCCTGGATCCGAATCCATTAACGGTATGACTTTTATTTATTTTATTCATTCCCCCATTGCTTGTTGGACTGTGGAAAAGCTTGAATTCATTATGGGTTTTATATGAAATAGAGAATTACAATTGCCGAGGTCCTTGAGAATGAGTGGTTTAAGAAAGGATACAAGGCACCTGCTTTTGAAAATGCTGAAATCAGTCTTGACGATGTTGATGCCATCTTTAATGAGTCAGCGGTAACACAAGTCTTTTTCAGCATTTTGTTATGTATCTTAAGGGAACTAGACATGACTTTTCTAATGTTGCAGGATACTCATAACCTTGTTGTTGAGAGAAGAGAAGAACGACCTGCTTCACCTGTCACCATGAATGCGTTTGAGCTCATCTCAAAATCTCAGGGCCTCAATCTTGCTACTCTTTTTGAGAAGCAAATGGTAGGTTTTGATCTTTGCTTATAACAAAAATCTTATGTTGAACAATGTTGTTTTCTGCAATGATCCATATGAAGTTCTTAATATTGATATCATTTATTTATACAATCTTAATACCAGCACTGACCGAATTTTATGGTGACTAGGGGGTAATTAAACGTGAAACAAGATTCACGTCCAACTGTCCTGCAGATGAGATCATTTCCAAGATTGAAAGGGCTGCAGTTCCTTTGGGTTTTGATGTGAAGATTAACAACTTCAAGGTGGGCCTTTTTTTGGTAAAATTTATGATAGGTAGAGTTTAGCTATAAGACGAAGGTGCCAATGCTTTGAGGCTGAAAAATACAAATCTTTATAGAATCATCTGTAGCTTACCAAACTGTTTTTTGACTTAAAAAACGTCCATCGTGTCTATCACAGATGAAGCTCCAAGGGGAAAAAACTGGACGTAAAGGTCATTTATCAGTGGCAACAGAGGTGCTCCTCTTCACTTTGCTCCCTTCTGTCTTCTCAATGTCTATCATTCCTAAAACAATGGGGAAGGATATAGTTGTCTTAAAAAGTTCTCTTCCCCAGATTTTTCAGGTTGCTCCTTCATTGTACATCGTAGAGCTCCGCAAAGCAGGAGGCGATACTCTAGAATTTCACAAGGTACGAATCAATACGTTATACACTTGCAACAACGGTCAATGAATCATTTCATAGTTGACGAATCTAGGCACCCTACTATGTTTTGAGTTGATTTCTTTAAGTTCTGTAATCTGTCAGTTCCAAAGTTCTAACAGCATTATCTTGTTATACTCATAGTTCTATAGTAACCTCTCAACTGGACTGAAAGATATCGTATGGAGACACGGAGACAAGATGGGGCAAGAGGCCACTGGTAAGCATGTCGCTTCGCTTTCATTAAGATAAATGGAAGAACACAAAATGAAAAGCCAGTAAACAAATTGGCAAAACTAGACTTTATATGTTATTTTCCTTTAATTAAAAAATGTTCTGACATGGATTTTACTTCTTATTCTCCAGGTACAGGTTTTTGAAAATTCTAGGTGATAGTTGATACTCTCTGAAGTGGTGGTGTCGTCTCTGTGGCTGTCGTATTTATGTTATGTTCAATTATGTAGCGAAATTTATCTAAGAATATTGAAATGTTAGATTATAAATTATTAATAGACAGTTAAAATATATACAAAATTGTGTGTACACGTAAATAGATAAAGTTTTTTTCTCCTATTTATTTAAAAACATGATTCGAAACAAAAAAGTAGCTATTTACCGTATTTAAATTACATTTTTTCTAAAAGTAAAGGGGTTTTAAATAAATTATATATATATATATATATATATATATATATATATATTTATTACAAATGATAATATAGTATTTTACCAATTTTTTTGTAGAATGCTTTGGGACAGTATTCACCAATTTATCAAGATACAAAATAATTGGATATTTGTTCAAGTTTATTAACATTTGTAATATCAATTTCTTAGATTTTTTTAAAGTTGTTTTAGGTATCAAGTGATATGCTTTTAGTTAATTAAAAAGCATTTGTATCTCAGATTTATATATATATATTATATGCTTTATTTTTACAAGAGTTCTACACATTCGGCATATTCAATATTTGAAAGTTCATCGACTGTATATATTATGCAAACTTCGTAGTAAATTTAATGTCGATTACAGTCATGTAGAATACATTTAGTTTCATGTAAAAAGTATTGTAAAAAACGTTTCATGTAAAAAGTAATATTTGTGCTAATTACAAACACCAATGTTTTTATCTATCTATCTTAATTGTTTGAAAAATAAATTATAATAAAACGCCTTTTTTTTATATTTTTATGAAAATTATATTATCTTAATTGTTTGAAACATAAATTATAATAAAACGCCTTTTTTTATATTTGTATGAAAATTATATTTGACAATGTATATTATCATTTTTTTAAGTACAACGTGTGTGATGGATGATTGAACTTACGACCTCTAAAAACGTATATTTTCAAATACAAACTTTATTAGGAAAGAAGAAGAATATTTCAGCCCCGTGAATCGTAATGAAAACTTCATTAAATGGTGTGACGCACCTCAAACTTTGTAATCCCATTACATAAAAAACTGTAATCCTACCAGATTCCTACAATCCATCAATCTCATTTTTATTCCTTATTTCGTAGACCCCACATATATATTATAATTAATGTAGCCATTGATTAGATACATATAATTTTTTATTTGTTTTTTATACTTTTATGATTTCTTCTCCATTTATACTCCATTTTTTATGAGTTTGATGTAATTTTATTATATAATATGATAAACTAATATTAATTAATATCAATAAATTTTTTAAATAGATATTATTCTTTTTAAATATTAGAATAACAAAACGTAACAATATGTTATATTAAAGTTGAGTTGTTATAATAAAAAATATTTTATTTAATGTATTTAATTATTCATTATGTATTAATATTTGATAAATTGTTATAATAAAAAATATTTACTAAAAATAATATAGTAATAAAATAAACTAAACTATATTATTATTGTAATAAGATTAGTATAATAATATATTTGTAATTAGCTAAAAAGGAGAAATGGGTATATTAGTAATTATCATATATCTGATTCCGATTTCATATCGTTTTAGTAAACAACATTAAATGAATTCTAATTACGATTACAGAAAATTTATGGTAAACAACATCAATGGAATAACATAACGATTGATTTTCATTACGATTGGAACAATTGTGGATAAGTAAATGTGACATTGGTTATTTATACTAACCACCACTGAAAATCTAACAGAGAAAATATATTTTTAATTTTTTTTAATACAACATTTAGTTGAATTGCCGTAAGAACGAAATTGAACCATCGAACTTTTGGTAAAGTTCATATGTTAGTACTAAGATTGTTCATGGATTGGGTTGAGTCGAATCGAGGTTCTGTTTGGACAAGAAACGAGGGCTCGGGTATTTTTTAGACTCAACTCAATTATTCAAATTGTAAATTTTTTCTACGGCCTATTTTCGCCTTCGACAAAATGTCAATTTATATAAAATAATTTTAGGTGCTAAAAAAAAATTGCATTGTAGCGAACATAGTTTAGCGGTAAAAGTGCAAGTCATTCCATGAATCCCTCGAGGGATCCTTCGATTTTATTAATATTCCAATCAAAAAATTTATTTCTTAAAAGTATTTGATGCTCTACCTCTCGAAACCCAAAAAACCATGGTAGAATATTTGGATTGGGTTGGTTCGGATTATTTGAGTCATTTATTCAAAGTATCGTATAACAACATCATAATAATAATAATAATAATAATAATAATAATAATAATAATAATAATAATATTTTTTATATACAGTGAATCAAAATTCGTAAATTGATTTTATCTATATGGGAAAAGAACATTCCAAAAACTTAAAAATTTGTTTTTAAAAGTCGTTGTAGAATAAATAGTATATATAAAATTATTGAATGAAATAAAATTAAAATAAATACAACTAAATATAATTTTAACGGTAAGAAAAAGAAATAGTTTTAAAATTAATAATAAATTATGGTTAGTTCAATTAAATCCAAACATATTTTAAGTGAACCATTGAACCGAACCCATCTATAGATTTTTCATTTATTTAAATTTAGTCCAACTAACAAAAATTATAACCTAACACAGACTATACGAGTTGGGTTGAGTTGATCGATTTTTTCGAGTCATAAATTTTTTTGAACGCACCTAATTAACACGTGTTACTCAATTAATAAAGTTCATTAATTTTTTGTCTATTAAAATGCTACTCCATTGCCATTTTCAAGTAAAGTTCTGCAAAATGTAATTAGGGTTAATCGAAATCCCAATTTTAGACGAATCAATGAAAATGAAGTCTACACTGACAAGTTCCCAAATCATTGGAATTGGAAGTTAAAATGATTAAATTGTCAAATTTGTAAAAGAAAAAACCAAAAAAAATCACAATTAGTGAATTATTAATTTTGACAAAACAAACGGTGGAAAAGTAGAAAGAAAGGGCAGGCTTGAGGAGGCTGCTGCTGCTACAAAGGCGCATTCGCTTTTGTAGTTTTACACCGCTAAGTTTATGGCTGTGCTTCGCCGTCGTCATCACAAAGCCTTCAGCGGCGGCGCCTTCGTTTTTGTCCCACTGGGTTTTTTCTTCTGACCCTTCTTCTTTAATTTCTCGCCGTGCCTCTTTTCCCTCAGAAGAAACGCCCTCTTCTCTGTATAAGCTACTCTGGGAGGTGCAGGTCTCAGGATGTTGTTTTCTCGAGGACTTTCCCGGATTTCGAGGATTCCCAGAAACAGCTCCTGTTGTTGGTGGTTCCTCTCTAATCGATCAGATACTCGTCCAGTTCTTCTACCCAATGTTCTCTCTTTGCATCCTTCGGAATCTGATCGGCAGGTAAATGCCACTTGGTTTTTTCGTTTAGTTTGTATTTGGGTCCTCGGAAAAGTGGTTGCTTTATTAATGGTACTACGAGTTTGCGATTGTTGAACTTTATGCTTTAGGAATTTGAAGTCCAGGTGGATTTTCTGTGTTTGAATGAAGATCCGAACTGGTTATTGTAATGGACGTTTAGTTTAGTGATTGGTTTATTGATTTCTATTGCTATTCCATGGCCTGTAAGTGGGATCATCCAGTTTAGGCCTAATGGGAATTTTTACTTGGACGTGATCGAGGCTTTTATTTGATTGAGACGATTTTGCCTGGCACTAAGATGAAGTATTCGTCGGTTTAATTTCACAACTAAGCTGAGCTCCTACTCGAGTTTTCAGCCAATGTTACCATGTTCGGTTGAGGAGTGCTATGCTACATATTGTTGAATCATCTAATTAAACTTCATTTGTTCTTGTCGACTAGCTTGATACACGATGCTTCATTAGTAAGGGAAACAATCCTGTATCTCTTAATTAGGACGTGTATTTTCCACTGAGATCGCAATGGTTTTTTCATCATTTTGCCTGAAAACAGCATGCATTGAGCCTCTTTCGCAACAAATGGTTTAAGGCAACTTAGCTATGCAATGGCATATCTCTAATGATGTTATTTAATTCAGTCTTATAAATATTATGTTCTGGTGGGGCACGTATTAATTCTGTTTTTTAATTTATCACAACCTTAGGATATATTTTTGGTATCATGACCTTTTGCTCACCTGCTCGTATAACCAACACAAATCCAGGCTCTTCGCTGTGGTTGCTCCAATCAGTTCCTATTCAATTCTGTCTTTTAAATAGATTTCTCTAACACAAATTCCGAAGGCTTTCAGCAAATTAATATCAATAATTTTAATATGAGATCTTCTTTCACGATTCTCTGTCCTCAATGACACTTTTTATGCAAACTTGTTTATCAAAATTTCATCCACATTTTATGGCCTATCTTGTAATATATTGGGATTTTTTTTGAGTATCCTTCATTTCTCATGTGCTTCTCCTTGGAGTTGTTGTGATTGGATGAAGGAAGTTTTGTTGTGCCTGACCTTTTGTTATAAAGGATAAGTTTTATGGCGATTTTATTTTTCTGCGATTGTATTGAATATTAGGTTGGATAGTTATTGAAGGGTGTTTCTAGGGATGGATGGTTCTTGGGTAGAAGCCTGGAGTTTGACCCTCTTTAAATGCTTTTCTCTAGTCAGTGTTAATCATTTTAGGAACTTTTCTGCTCTCTTTCTAATAGTTGGAGTTATTTTTTAGCGACTTCTATTTAGCTCCCTGTTCGTTTGGTCATGCTTTTAGCATAGTGAGTTAGGTCTCTTGAAATGATTGCTAAGAGGACTTAGGGATATTTTTAGGTTGGTTTGGGTTAGGCTTATAGAAATTATGGGCCCCAACTACTTCTTTAAGTTGCAAGTTTAACCAATTCAAATTACCTTAGTTAGGTGACAGGCTCAACCTAACTCAATCATATAATCATTGGGTTGGATTGGTTTTGATTCATCAAGTTTTATATTTTTAAAATACTTGTAAGAACTAGGAAATATCAGTACTTTAGTGGTGTATTTTACCTGCTTTGACATATTGAATTTAAAATGGTACTTCAATTTCATGTTTTATCTCATGAAGAATAACCTTTATTATTATATCATAATACAACGGAATATTTTATGGTTATTTTAGAGGTTAGATATAGTATATTATACATTATGAATTTCCAGAAGTTCAACCTGTATCTGTTTGCTCATATATTGATCATCCAAAATTTTAATTGTTACTATGCTGGCAATTTATAGGCTCTAGGATGCAGAGAAATCATGTACTTGGCTTATCCCACTTTGCATGGTTTGGGACGTCAAATTCATCATCAAAGCAGCTCTTTAGTTGAGGTAGGTTGTAAATTTTGTCAAGGTTCTCGTATACATTCTTCTATGATAAGCATCAAGATAATAATAAAGTCAGCAATTGTGACATAAGTAATTACAAAATGATTTTTTTTTAATAAGAAACTGAGCTTTCATTAAGACTATGAAATCGCTCCCATAACGACTAAGCAAACTGGCACCTCCGAAGAATATGATCAAGGTCCTCAAACGCATGTTTGCAAAGAATACACCACTGAGGCCTGGCCCAAGCAAGATGGAAGAGGTGGCCGAGAAGGCTAGATTTAGTACTTAAGGCCTTTTGCAATTGTAATGGAGCTGTTTCTTGTAAACTCACTGGAGTTGGACAATATCCATTTTTTTAAAAACACAACTATTTTGTCTCTGTATAAAAAAAAGTGTGAAGTTTCAGAGGATAACGACCACTTTAATTGACCACTTAAAAAAAAAAGGTGTGAAATCATTACCTTATCTTTCATTTTTTTTTTTGCTAGGCATGAATTTTAGAGTTAATGCAGGAAAAAGTTTCTCCATATTTGTCGTTTGTTCTCGGTTCCAATAATCACTCTTCTTCTAAGTTTAGAAGTCTTACTTGGATCAACCTTAAATAGAATCTTCACAACTGCAATTCTCCGGTTACTGTATAATCCATGTAATTTAATCTTTGTACCATAATGCCTATTCCAGGCATGGTCACTCAACCATCTTCTTTGGCAAGAATAAGTGCGCTGTTAAAAGTTCTATTCTAAAAGTGTGCATTTTTGCTCATGGCTCACCTTGAATTAATTGGTTGATTTAGTTAGAGGATGCTTTCCAATTAATCTAAAATTTTGGAATTCATTACCATATATAACAAATATGTTGTACTTGCAAAGGTTGATTTTTGAAGAGTTTAATCTTTCTTGTACTAGACATTTGTTTTTAATCTTTATATTCATTTTTCCATCCTAGAACTATTTTAAAAACTCCATTCTCAATAAAAAATGACACAGAACAGCTTCTAACCTCTGCTTTGTTTTTCTTTGTACATAGCCAGCATTAATCTTTTTGTTTCATGTGTGTTCCAGTTTTATTCAAACTGTGGAATTTAATTTATCGATTAGTAGTCTTCTTGACACCTTTCTTTGTCTATACATTATATTGTGATGCAATGAATTTCAGGAACAGCTTGATCCATTCTCACTTGTTGCAGACGAGTTATCGCTCCTTGCCAATAGACTACGGGCAATGGTAGTTGCTGAGGTATCTGATTCTTTTATTAATGTCTTTTGAAAAAATGATGCTTGAAATTATATTCTTCGAGAAGCTTCCAATTATAGTTGGATTTTTCTCATATAATAATATTTATAAATTATCTGATACAGGTTCCAAAACTTGCTTCTGCTGCTGAATATTTCTTCAAACTGGGCGTTGAAGGGAAGAGATTTCGTCCAACGGTATATTTGTTTGTTTGTTGTTTATTTTTTATGGGAACAAAACTTTTTAGATGTTAGTTACCATTCTACAGACATGCTTATTTTTTATTCTGTCCCATGTTTATTACTATTAGTTTAATTTTTTTTGCCAATATGTATATTTTTATGTCAACATGGATTTTGGAAGGAGAAATGTTTTTTTTATATTTTTTGAACAAGATACGAACTTTTCATTGATAAATGAAAATGAAAAAAATTGTTCAAAGATACAAACTCCCATAGGAGTGAAGGTACAGGAAATAAATAAAAGTAAGCATTAGAAGAAATAAAAACCATAAACTTAAAGAAACCTCCTTAAAGGGGAGTTATAAAAGCCTCCCAATTCATACAAAGCATACTAGGAGAATAAGAAGAGAAGAGATCGGAACGAACACACCATTGGGAGGCTTTGAATTTGGCGATTGAGAAACACTCCATAGGAGATCGATTCTTGCCTTCAAATATTCGTTGATTTCTCTCGAACCATAATTCGGAAAGAAGAGCTTTTATTCCAAAAGCCCAAAGCAGATTAGTTTTAGAGCTTGCTTGCAGCCCACTGAAAAGCTGAAAAATGATTTGAGGCACCTCCAGATCCCATACCCATGAAACTCCAAACATAGATAGAAATTTTTTCCAACAGACCACTGCATAGCTACATGAGAAGAAGACATGCCTTTGGGTTTCCCCACTTGCTTTGCACATTAAACAACATGATGGCTGCATCAAAGAATTGGGCATTTTCTTTTGTAATGTCTCTGAAGTGTTAGATTTTGGTTTGAGAGGATGCCTCGTTATTTTTCTCTGTAATTTTCCTCCTAGTAATAAAATTGTTGCACACAAGAAAAGAAGAAGAGAGAGAGTGCAATTATACAAGGAAACACATAACAGAAGGGGGGAAGAAGTTATTCAAGCTTTTGGTGGAGGCTTTTCAAGCTTTTTTAGGTGTCTTCTGCTCCTAATCAAACTGGTCCTGATGCAACGAATAGTTATTCTTCAATCTCTCTTTCATGAAATAGGGAAAGTTCTTTGGCAAGCAATTGTTTTTTGCTACCATTCGGAATATTTTGTTAGAGGATTTTGACGGGGTAGAGATAGCTTAGGTGGAGGTTTGAGTGTGGTTTACTTCATTGTCTTCCTTTGGCTTTTCAAGTACTTCTTGAGTGTCCCTTTGTTTTTAAGTTTCAGTTATTTGAAGTTGAGCCATTTCTCGATTTGTTTTGTGGCTCCCCTGGTTGCCGTAGCCTGTATTTTTGTATGGTCTCAATGCAATTTCTTATATATAAAAAAGGATATCACAAATTTGGATTTTAATGACAACTAAGAAAAGCAAAAGTATTAAATATCACACTGCCTCGACTTCATGACACGAAGATGGCGAACAACTTGTTTTCCTAGTTGGAAATTTGACGAGAACCCGCATAGTTGGTAAAAGAGAAAAGCAGTATAAATGAGTAGTGTATTTGGAGTGATGCAGACCTGGATGTGTTATTTATTCTAGTGCATTTTTATGTGCAGGTTTTATTGCTGATGTCAACTGCTTTAAATGTGCCAATACCTAAACCTCTTCCTCATCCTGTAGAAGACCATTTGACAATGGATCTACGCACGAGACAACAATGTGTAGCCGAAATCACTGAGATGATTCATGTCAGTTCTTTGAAATGCTTAATTTCTTTCATTGTCTTCTATAGAACTGCTTGCTTGAGTTAGGGATCGAAAATAAGGGGCCAAGTGTAAATATGTTTCTTTGTTTATATTTATTTTTTCCTGTGAGGATGGCTATATAAACGAAGTACATCTAGAGTCTATTGATGTGTCGTTTTTCATGTGCTGGAATTGAATTTATGCCTATTGCATTCTTGCAAATCAGACTTTACTAACTGAAGATGTTAGAGAAACAATACTTTGAATGCAAAACATATAAGTTACCTTTGGCATATAATTGTATGGATATGTTTGATTTTGAATTTCATTTCCTATTAGTCTCAAGGATTATCTTTAAAATCTTTGTCACAAGACATTTTATCATTAGAAGTGTGTGGGGTGGTTGTTTTTATTTTTATTTTTTAATCTTTGGCTTTTCCTGGTGTTTTGCTGGTAAGGTTAAACTGAATTTGGAGTAGTTAGTGTTCAGCACGATGTTCAAAGGAAAAATTAAGTTTTTTTCGTTTAACGTGGTTAAGGGCATCCTTTGGGGGCTGGAAATTACTGGGTTTTTGAAGGGAGAGAAGATTATGGGTTGAGATTTTTTTATTTTGTTAATTTGCTTGTTCTTCCTGATTTTCTGTATGTTAACTCAAATTAGGGTGGGCTTCTGTGAGCTCCTTTGGTGACCTGAATCATTTTCATATTTTGGGCCGTATCTTTCCGCTACCTCAAATGATAACTTTGTTTCCTTTTCAAAAAAATGGAAAACAAAAAGAGGAAAAGGAAGCAGAGATGTTTTCTGTAAATTTGTCCATTCCTTCGTAGCATATTTTCATTTGCATATCATAGTTTAAAACGAAAACGTTATAATGGAAAGTTCATTGATATGGGTTATAATATTCATATATTTTTTTTTTAAACAAGAAACAAACTTTTCATTGATAAATGAAATAGCAAAAATGATTCAAAGATTCAAACTCTCGAAAATAGCAAACTTTTCATTGCGTTCATGTCCTGGTCATCTTATCCGGTGCTAGTACAACATTTTTTAGTTTTGTTAATTTTTTATTAAATTTCCCATTTTCCTTCTGAAGTTATTTCTTGAAAATATTTTATATTTTCTAGGTGGCCAGCCTTCTACATGATGATGTATTGGATGATGCAGACACAAGACGTGGCATTAGTTCGTTAAATTCTCTGATGGGAAATAAGGTAGTCTTCTATGAACTTTAGCTTTGTCATGATGCTAATGCTGAAACACGTGGATCTACGTGATTGTATCTAATATGATAGAGGACATGGAAATTTATGGTTACTTTTTCAATGTTTTGCATTAGAAGAGTACCCATATTTTATCAAGTTGGATTCTTTTCTCTTTTTTCATAACAAGTATGCTCTTTATTTTATCGCAGTTGTCTGCAAAATTCTTTTGGTTGCTGTAGATTCTAACATTCCTTGTGATTATGTTTGCTTTTATAGATATCAGTTTTAGCTGGAGACTTTTTGCTCTCTCGAGCGTGTGTTACACTCGCCTCTTTAAAAAACACAGAGGTATGCATTACTTCCATGCTTGTAGAAGGCGCAGTATTAGTTGGTATTGGCATCATGCATCTGTTTTTTAGTCTTGTTAAATTTCTTCATTACCCCCTTTTGCTTTAGGTGGTATCATTAATAGCACAAGTTGTTGAACATCTCGTGACTGGTGAAACTATGCAAATGACTACAACATCTGATCAACGTTATAGGTATACTGTTCACCTTTTGGTTGTATATGTTTGAATTTCTTCTTGTGGAACAGTGGATATCGATACTTGATAATATATACTGCTTTTCAACAATTCTCACATTTGTTCCACTGTGTTACCCATTTTTTTTTGGCATAAGACACTTCGTTACTTCTGTGTTCTGCTGTATATTTTGCTTGATCTTGCTTCAACATCATGTTTGTAGCAATTATTGTTAGATGCAGATGTGTTTGCTGATTTTGAAAATGTGAATCATCAATGACTATGCTATATTCTTGTCTTCCTCTTCAGGAACTTAGAGTGAATTGCAGATTTTGCACATTTTCATTGTACTTTTTCTGGCTTGTACAAAGCAACAATTTTCTGGTTTCCTTCATTATACAACTATCATTGTCTAAGCAAAAACACTTGGCAACAACCAAGTTTATGAACGAAAGATAGAACCTAATTTTGAAAAAATGAAATAAGGGACCTAATGAAATTTGTGGTTTAGAATACTTCCTATACAGCTATACTCGATGATATTAGTAAGTATGTTTATTTTTTGTATCAATTCAAACCAGAGGAATTTTTGTAAAAGCGATGAAGAATACTTTTTCAATTTATCAAGTAGAAAATATTGCAAGTTTATGAAATATTCTGTTTCTTCTAAAAAAAAAAAAAAGTCACCTGCCTTCTGTTGCCAATTGCACCATGTATTATACATGGTAGATTTGCAACTACATTCTTACTGTTTTCTATTTTGAGATAAACTAATTCGTAGTTGTAATATTCTGAATCTCACAAATATATGTAATAAACAGCAGAGGACCAGATAGTTTTTTTATTTAGCCCAGGGCAAAGGAAAGCAATAATAGTGAGAAAAAGGTTGTGAATAGAAAAATTAGATTTTCGTAAAACAAATGTACATGACAGCTAAAGCAATCTTGAAAAGATTTTGAAGGTTGCTTTTCGACGGTCTTGAATGGAGGAGTTAACGGCCATGGCAAAAGCTTTCAGAATTGAACTTTCCGGTTTTAATGGTTTAACACACAGACATATATATATATTTTTCCAAGTGTGCGTTGGGGGAACTGTTATATAGTGAACTAAAAAAAAAAACTGTTGTAAAGCATATTTCATTTCAATGCTTATTGATAATTGTGTTTTAACTTGAATGATTCTGAATTGCAGCATGGAATATTACTTGCAGAAGACATATTATAAGACTGCATCATTGATTTCGAACAGTTGCAAATCTATAGCCATTCTTGCTGGACAAACAGCAGAAGTTGCGATATTGGCTTACGAGTATGGAAAAAATCTGGTATGTGACCACTTTAGTTCTTTGTTCTTTTGTTCTTCATCAAACCCCCCTTCCCTTCCTTCCCAAAAGCCTCGTGAGAAGGTTCACGCTTCTTGCCAAAACTAATTAGTGTTGGCCATGTCTCAGCATAGAAGCATGTCAAAATGGGACTAAAACTTATTACTTCTCTTTTAATTATGGGATACAATACTAGCTTTTCATATTGAAGGATGCATAATTCCTAGAATCTTTGCTCTATGTGCAAACTTACTCAGCCGTAGGAGGTTCTTTCTAAAGAAATTTTCATTTTTCTAATAATATCTAAATGATTGCAGCAAGGACTGTCTATTGTGCAGCTTTCTTTTAAATGTTTGCAGAAGTAGCATTCCTATATCACAGAGAAGATGAACATCACATGATGCACTCTTTTGTCGTGCTATTTGGCAGAGTTTTGAAGTTTACTTCTTTTCCAGTTGAATGGTGGGGTCCATATGATGTTCCTTTCTTATGGCTGATCTCTGCCTTTCTCTCTCTCTTGCAGGGGTTAGCATATCAACTGATTGATGATGTTCTTGACTTCACCGGGACTTCTGCTTCACTTGGAAAGGGTTCTTTATCTGACATCCGCCATGTAATTCATTTGTGCAGATTATGTTTGCATCTGAAATTTTATTATGCGTTAGTTCTTACTGTTATTCTTTTATGAAGAATTTGGATAAGGAACAATTTCATGAACCAAAACGGTGCACAAAATGGAGGATGGGATGTTCTCCTAAAAACCAAAAAAGTTTTAGAAAGTACCCCCTAATTTGGCTTCTAATGATATAATAAGAAACTAGACCATAAAATTTTAAGTTTTTCTGAAAACCTGACCCCCAAAAATTTCTAGGGCCTTGGGCGGAAACTTCATTGAAGGTTGAAGCCTTACTTTTCTAGAGAGATCACATCTGAGGTAAGGTCCAAATATGTTACTTCGATATGCTGGTCTTGTTTGGAAGACTACATCTTTGAAGGAACAAATGTGAACATCTCATCATCAAGACCTTCCCATAAAAGCTTCCTCATCATTCTCTCAATGGAGACTGCTGACTTGGCTGAAATTATCATCCTTGAAAGTTAGTAATAAGGAACATTGGTTGAAATAGAGATTTAGAATTGATATTGTTCCGTTGGATGAGCTTGAATTCGTTCAGTTTTGGGGCTTCCTTCGAATCTTCTCTTTAGCTAGAGTTAGAATGCCCACGGTCAAATATTACCCTCAAAGTAAGATTTACAACTTGCACGAGTAAGCTAGTTATAGAATGAGGGAAAAGGTTGTTGCCCTGAACTTCCTCATCTTGAACATTAATCCAGCTTCCTTGCTTTTATTAAGGTTAATTTTAAGGTCTGAAACTGTTGGAAGATCGTCAGGAGATGAAGTATAATAAGTATTTAGGAGTGGTTATCTGAACTGAAAAGGAGGGCATGATCATTAAATTACATGATTGATGTGCATTTGGTTTGTGTCTGTTTTAGAGTCTTGAGACTGCTTGTTCCAACAATTTTCTGAGGATATTGAGTATGATAGTAAATGGAAATGGTGATATATGTTTGGTGCGTGCTTGGCCAGGAGTTAAGATTGTAGGTCTCTTGTGGAGGAGTTCCTTTTGTTTCCTCCGGTGCGGGATAAGGGCTGGATTCTGTGGCACTCTGGTTTCTTTGCAGTTCTGCGGGGCCTTTGGTTAGGGAGGAGTAATAGTATTCTCAGGTATGGGGAGAGATCTTAGGACGAGGTGTGGTCTTTAGCTAGATTTAACGCCTCTACTTGGCATCAATATCTAAGGACTTTTGTAATTATCTATCAGGTCTCGTTATTTTGGATTGAAGCCATTTTTTGTAGAGTTAGATGTGGGTCTCCAAAACTTGTGGGCCATTTCGGTTGGTTATTTATTTTTTAAGCTCTTGACTTGTTCTTTTGTTCTCTTTCTTTCCTTTTTCAATGAAAGCTTAGTTTTTAAGGAAATGGCGATAGAGAAAAATATGTATTACATCATCTGAGGAGAGATGGTTATTCTTATCACGTCTTTCATTCAGGCTACCTATTTATTACACTCCCTTACCCTCCCCAAAATAAATAAAAGAAAAGAGGAAAGAATCTTTTGAATGTTTTGATTTCTAGACGCAAGATTTTGATGTTTCATGTTGTTTTAGTCATTGTAAATGACATGGAGATTTTGTACAGGGAATCATTACAGCTCCATTATTATTTGCCATGGAAGAGTTCCCCCAGTTGCGTACGGTTGTGGATCGTGGTTTTGACAATCCTAGAAACATCGATATCGTAAGTTATTTATAAAGCAGTAATATAACACATGATCTGATCTCCAATATCATTTTTCATTCACCAGATTTATTTTCACCTGGTCCTTCTGATGATCTCTGACAACTTATATGGCCACCCTTCCATACACTCCACAGGTGCTTTGCCCAAAAGAGCTGTAGATTGTCCTTTGTGACAGTGAAATGAAAATATTGTTTTCAAGAATGAAAGTTAGTCATAAATTATCATTGCAACACAGAATCTGCTCTGGTTGTACTTTTGCAAAAATATAATACAATAATCTCATTGGTTTTACTCCTGTTCATCTGAATGGTTAAGAACCGACTTATTTGTTCCTAGGCATAATTTTTTAGGAGTCTGCATATTGTTGATGATATTGTCTTTGCTATTTGTTTGCCTACTTCATTTACTAGAATGGATGGCCAAGTATAGCTTTTGGAAGTTGATTGACATGTGTTAAAAATGCAGGCAATGGAGTACCTCGGGAAGAGTCGTGGAATACAACGTGCAAGAGAGCTAGCAGCAAAACATGCCAATCTAGCTGCAGAAGCTATCGATTCTCTACCCGAGAACGATGATGAAGACGTAAGAAGGTCGAGAAGGGCACTTGTAGATCTCACTCAAAGAGTCATTACAAGAACAAAGTGAGAAATCAGATTAGTGTACACCATCATCATAGTTAGAACTATATCTTTTCCATTTTCAGAGGGACAAATTCCCCTCATAATTTTTTCCGCTATCAATATTCTTTGAATTTATCAACTTTTTGTTTCAATAATGCCTCACAAAACATACTTTCACCTCCCCCCCTTTTGTGTAAATTAAAATGTGGAGCATGAAGGTTGACCCAGAATTTTGTTTTGTAATTCCATACTGATGCACCACTTCCTGTGTCTCTTGTGGTCTTATTGACATCTTATACTAATTAGATATTTGGATGCCATTATTCATAGGCCCCTTCACTATCTCAATGGACAGAAATTGTTGCACCAATCGAATATGAAGTATTGTTTGAATGACTTGTATTATTGAAGTGTAACCAAATCCCACTGATGTTATGATCTGAAATTGTTTATGGTAGCAATTAAAAATTGACATGAATCTCAGAGAGAACCAAGATCGGACTCCTTGCCTCTTCTATAAGGATAAAATAAGTTGCTAAAATGGCTCTGTTTCGTGCCCTGAAACATTCCTTAATTTCCCTCAAATTACAGACACAACAAAATAAAGAACAAATCAAATATATTTCACCTTCAAAATTTACGTACATACAGATACACATAGTACACCAAGGGGTAACTGTTCCTGATATTCTCATCTCATTCGCTTACCATACTACGCCTTAATCATCCAAAAGACCATGTAGGAATCTTGCAAGCAGATCAGATCTATGAACTTCTTGTATTGCCACACTTCAACCTGTTGTGCCAAACATAGACCTTCGGCTATTGAGTATCCCCATCTGCTCCCAGTTGTTTGCACTTGTAGTTACCTGAATTTTGAAGGGTTCCAAGTTGTCCATTTATCAAAAGAATGCATCCTGGGAAATGAATGCGGTCCATGCCTCCTATGGTTGCAACATAAAGAAAATAAGTTCCGAGTTCATTGATTCCTATGCGGTCCACGCCTTCTTGTCTAAGTTTTTTCCAGTAAAACTAATTTAGTCAGAAACTTGATTTATAAAACTAATTTAGTCTGAAACTTGATTCATGTTGGTTTCATAATTGATATAGATGGTTCAGAGATTACAAAGAAAGAGTTACCTGGAGGATAGTGAAAGCCTTTTCAGCCACATATTTTTGCATGTCTGTAGCTCCTCTCTGCTGCAGCTTGTCTGGGTGGAGACATAATCTTGCCTTCTGATAAGCTTTCTTCACCTGTGAACCCTCCATAATGGTTGTAAGTGGTGTTACATGCCAGCCACTCCTCGGCCATAGAATCTGAATCATTTGTAAACAAGACTATTGTGTTAATTAGCATATCAATTTTATGTCATTGCAGTGTTCAAAAATACGAGAATGCATGGGGCGGGGGGTGGCTTCATGATGTCAATAGAAAATTTCTTACGTGATGGAGTGTTGAAAGCAACAACCGGATGTTGGTTTCCTTGCCGGAAGACCACAACTTTATATCTTCATCTATATCCTCCATTTCCATCTGAAACTTTCAAAACATAATTACTAATTAAAATCTCCTCTCTTAGCAAAGGGAACCGTGAGCAATAATGTCAAACCAGTGAAATGTAGATAAGTTGAAATCGTAGAAAGTGAACATCAACAGTTTCTGGTTAAAGTTTGACCCAAAAAGAAAACTGATTTTAGCTTGTTTCTTCTTGGGAATTGAATTGTGTCAAGGTCATGAACCCTTTCGCACCCAAAGTAGTATGTGTGATAGAATAATCTGAAATAATACTTTCAAGATCCAACTAATTTTTGCGTAGAGAGTTAAATGAGGAGCAATATCAGGCTAGTTGATTGAATTTTAAATCATATGTGCCATCAATAAACTTCGAAAATTTTGCATCAAGAGTTATAACCTGTATCGTTATTCAATTGCCAAACCCGAGTAAAAATTTTTTGCAAAGTGCAGATGACCTGCTGCCATATAATTATATCCCATGAAGCAAGCTTTTAAGACACCAAAACTTCTTATACAACCACAAAAAAAAACATTTTTTCTTGGAATTTCCTCATTTTAAGTTCGTTCATATCAGAAGCTTACATCTTTTTCAGACTCTGCCTTTTCCTTTTCAGCTGACCAAATTTTTTCTTGTACCTTTAAAAGAAAATAAAATGTAGAGAATGTTAAAAATTTGAACTAGTAACTTCATTAACAAATGAAACAAGCTTTGTCCTTCATTTTGTAAGGAAGGGGATTCACACATTGAAAATACAAAATAGTGAAACTGAAAGTTGTATAAATTGGTAAAATGTCTGTATAGGAATTATGCATAAACCACACTTGATATATTAATCAGAGGATATTGTTGTGTCATATTACTGAGTAAACATCCGGAGTTTCGGGTGTAGCAAAAACTTGTTTTATGCAGAAAGGATTGTTTAACGATCTAGACTGGAATGAGCTGTTTTTCATCTTTGAGATTTACAGAAAGGTATTTCAGCATCCTACCCTCTCTATTGTTGATTTCATCAATTTAAAACTTTCAGATGATCTTAAATTTCCTATTGGCATTAGAATTATAAAGCTTTGAGAAAACAATGGCTTACCTCTGCGGATTGAGTTATGTCATGCGTTCCTAACTGTCCACCATTAATTTCACATGAACCAGACCGTCCTGCATGATATTACCAATGAAAGAATGATTATGCATGGATCTTCAATATAGACCAATCGTTAAATCAAACAAAGATATTGTTTAATTACCTTCAGTTTCAACAAATTGTTCACTATCATTCTGCCTTGTACTCAAATCTGTCTCAGAAGTCTGCGTATTAAACTTTTCTTTTGCCCAAGCAATCACTTCATCAAGTGCAACTGCTTCGTTTGTCCCCTCCCGGTTATCGGAACCGATCTCAATAACATAAGAGCTCATTACTTCATCCTCATCTTCTTCTGCCAACACATTTATTTGAATATCAGGTTTCGCCCCTGACACCTCACACAGTGAAGAGACAGCAGATGATGGAGAATTGGGTTCTAAATCATCCACAGATACTTTCATGCTCCTGTATGAAGTTGGTTCAAGACTAATAGTTTCTGGAGATGTCACCGGCCGAGCAAACCCTGAATAGGAGCTCCTGAAAGGTTCCTTGAACTCATTATCAACGTACTGATTTTCCACGGCGGCAGAACGGTTGAACGGAAAGAAGGGAATCCCTTGTTTCTTCTGATGCTCCTCTGGCTTCATCTTTGACGAGTTCCATCTTGTTGGGATATTGATAGGCCTAATGGAGCCAAAAACAATGATATCTAAAAATCATTAGTAGCATGCTTTTGCTAAACTCCCACCAAAAACATTCAGCAGACTATGTTGCAAAGCTAAAAAGCTGATGACTGAAATTGGTGTGAATTTCAACTTAAGAATTCACCATCTGAAGTGAATTGCCAAGGCTGATTTGTTGTTTGTCTCATTGTTTTCATGTAACAGAGATATCATACAGAGAAGTGAGTAGACCTTCAATATCAAACCCAGAAATCATAAATCTCTCTCTACAAGCTAAAAATAGACCAGAGTTTCAGCTGGATAAGAGAATTGATGATACTTTCCAAACCACATTCATTCAAATTCAAATGTTAATTAAGGTTAACGAAATCAGATGTAAATGTTTCAGCCCCCAGACAAAATAGCAATCAGTTTCAGAGGAATTTTGATACAAAAGAAGACGGCGTGCCCCTTTATTTGTCCACTACCCCATAGACCCGCCACACTGGCAGGGGTAAAATCGTCAAAATAATTTAAGTATGCCAAAAACAGTTGTGCAGGAAAACCGATACCTGAGCTTCGCAGCGAAGGAGGACAATACTACGTCGTTTCCGATCACATGCCGGAAAGGGCTCGCCTCCTCGGAGCTCAACACCGACGATGAGTTGGACTTTGATTTCCCCTTCGAGTTGTGCCCTGACCGGTCTCTCGATCGCCGCTCATGATCCGATCCAAATATGTCGTTGTAAAATCCCTCGCCGCTTTCCGGAATCCTGAAAACCGGCAAGCTCCGACCAGCATTCTTTGCCGAAGAAAAGAATTCCGGCGGTCGGAACATCTCTTCGTAGAAGAAATCGTACTGCTTCTGTTCTAGTTCGCTGGAGAATTGCCGCGAGAGGACACTCCGCGGCGGACCGCCAAAGACGTCGGAGAAGTCGCCGGGGTTCAGTGGTCCAGCGCCTTTGGGGAGGGACTGCATCGAGGGCCCCTCAGTCGATCGCCGGCGAGGGAGTTCCGGCATCCCCATCCTCATTCTCCAAGACTCGTCCATTTGACGGGAGATTTCACCGGCGAGAAGGAGGCTTAGTCGCCGGAATATACAGTGCCAAGAAAGTCTATTAAGTTTATATATAGAGAGAAATGAAAAAGGAGCTTTTGAAAAAGTGATCATTTCCATTTCTTGACACAACGTTGAGTTCTTATAAATTACTTAAATTATAAAATTATAATTTTAAAAAAATAAACGTAAGTATTAATTTCTAGTGGTTAATAAATGACTTAAAGATGATATCAATTCATAATTTCGAGTCAATTATGAGAAAATTTTCATTTAGAGAGAAAATTAATTATTTTTAATTTCATTGAGATCGGTCAGAATAAGCATAATTCAGTATTTATTGACACATATCTCCATTCGAGATTGTGAGTTCGATTTTCATCTCAAATATTGTACTAAATTTTTTTTTTATGAAGACCAGTGGTGGGTTGAAATTTTTTACCAATCATCGCATTTACAACATGAATATAGTTTAATTGACTAATGCATTTTTAACTTAGGTCGGAAGTTTGTACTATAAAAAAAAACTTAGTCGGAAGGTTAAAATATTCATCCAAAGACAAGGTAAAAAGAGTTTAGCTAAAAGAGATATTAATTCTTTTCAAAACCAATAATACGAAAACTATATCAAACAAAGAGTAATCAATATCCGAATGAAATAAATTCAAACTTTTCCGAAGTAATTTCTGGTACAATGAAATTCATAGAATATAGTTGAGTTCTTAGTTGAACTAAAAAACTCCTTAAACATTCAATTTTCTTCTTGTCATTAAATTTTTAGTCTCAATCTTTAAAATAATTAATATCTCACTATCAACATTTTCTCTCACATCAAAACATATATTATGACACTGCTCCAAATTAATATCAAATTCTCACCACATGACCTATTCCTTTTAAGTCGTTTATTTTTCCAAAGAAATTATTAAATTATAGAGATTGATTCATTTTTTTTAGTAAATCAATGGTAGGGAATCGAACCCATAACTTTTAGTTGAAGAAATACATTTTAACTAATTTAATTATGTTTAGATTRCAAGAAATAGATAAAATAAAGAACCATGAGACCCAAGTGATAGAATACTAGGGATATTTACTCATTAGAAGATTGATGGTGTAAATTTTAAAATACAATGAATTTCTACCTATTTTCAAGACAACAAAAAAAGTTTAAATTGAAGGCATTATTACAATCCAATTCAAAATGACACAAGAAAAAAAAATTATAGAACATAATATCATATGAAAGTGGCACACTACATATAGTTATATATATAGTCCCCACCCCAAAACCCTAATTGAGGAAACATATTTTATCATGTTTCCTATCTTTCAATTTCAATTTAATAAAATATCTTATGTTAGTGGGGCTATGCACAAATATAACACACAAAAATGCAACCTCTAACATTATCCATTTAACATCTATCTTCTTGAATTTTTATATCCTTGTCCCACTTGTAAGCTTGTGGGTAAATCAACCACATTAGTTTATGTTGTGTTTCTAATTATATAATAAAATTTTAAAATGAGTCGATTCATTATTAGTTTATCGTTTTGTTCCTAGGTAAATTAAAAGCATTAGAGTTTATGAAGAGTCATATTTATAGTTCAAAAAAGTTTATTGTTTTTTATAGTAATATATTAATTATGTATATTCATGCTTATTATTTTTGTTTTGACTTATGTTCTGAATGACATCATGTGACATCCGAGTAGAGAGGAGGAGTATATGAATGATTTGATACCACATGCGAATGAGAGAGATCCTGAGATCATGGAAAAATAGTCGAGAAATGTTTAAAAAAGAATTGATAGTTACTACCTATACTGATGCACCTTCTTTTTCGGTAACTCAATTGTAAGAACTCAAAAATTAAACGTGCTTGACTTGGAGCAATCTTCGGTAGTACACATCAACCTTTTCATGAATGATAAAAGTTTCGTGGCATATTTTTCATTTTGAAGTTAGTTGTTACTTATTTTCTCTCTAGTTCATATCAAATGCTAGTACAAGATTAGTTATACATGGTGCATTTTGTTGATTCTCAAGAGATTCCAAGTGCTTGTGGCCATTGTGGTCACTAATATAAGATGATGCCAAAATGACATTGACAATAACCCTAACAACAACATTGATGAGGACAACAACGACAATGGTGACAACAATAGCAATAACAATAACGACAATGACACTACATCGACAAAGGAAAGCAAATGCTTGAGATAAAATAAAAACAAGTGAAAGTTGTGCCAATGTCTCATTTGACTATGCCAAATGACAACACCCTTTACCTCCCCTAATTTCCCACTTCTACCATCAAAGCCACCTTTGAATTTGAATTAAACTCTTTCAACAACGTCAATTCATATCCTTTTTCTCAAAACCAAAATCATGTATACAAACGTCTAATCATCGATTAGAAAGTAGATACTTACTATCGATCTGTTAAAATTAAGAATCCATCTATTCTATCATTTCAATTGGTCCGTTATATCTAAGTTATCGTTTACAGAGCCGAACGCTATCACATACCCGTCATTGTATACGACGCAAAATAAAGGTTCCAACATGAAAGAAGAGGCAAAAAGGCTAAGAATTTGTGAGGTTGATAAGAGTTCCAAAGGGAGGGAGATATTAGGCCCAAAGATGGAAGTGGTGTAAATGAGGAAAGAAACAAGAGAATTGGGACAGATACGAAAGCAACAAGCAAGAATACAAAAGTGGGCAGCCAACTGCTTAAGGACACTTCATTTGGTCAGTACCTACTGTCCTTTGAGATACAAAGGGAAGACACCCCCAATCATGGTGGTTCAAATGGGCTCTCTCATGTGGGAATACTTCCAAAATTCTTTTTGTCTTTTAAACATGAAAAAACCTTGAGCAAAAAGAAAAAATTATTCGATGTGACTGTCACCATACACGTAACATTGAAATTGCTATGATTATTACTGGGGGCATAATTAAAAGTTTTTTTTTATAAATTCTTTCATATATCCAATATCAACGATTCTAAAAATGGATAATTAGTGGATGGTCTAAATTATATGAACAAAAGAGTAATGAACAACTTATTATTCACGAGATTTTATTTTTAACTGTAAAATTATTCTACATCTCTGTTACTTATTGTACTGGAAGATCTAAGTCAAAAAAAAAAATCATAAAACTTATCATTGCAAATTCTTCATTTCTAGTCGAGTCCCAGGTCGATAGTACAAGTAAGATATCATTAAGAAGACTTTACTTTCAAACCATAAGATTATCATATCTCTCAATTTTGCACACTAGTAGAGGTGTCTAAATTTAAATCATATGGAAGAAAATAGAACAAATTATAACTCATGATCAAAGTTCTTTGTTCTAATCAATAAAATCACTCCATACTCATATCAATTTGTATATTAGCTTATGGTTCTTGCAATTTTTGGAATGTTAATAATCATTTGTGAACTTTTAAGGACTTAGTTCCTAGCTAGTGCAATTTTTAATACATAAAATTGTGAGCTTATGGCAAAAAATTATTCATGCATTGATGCGTTTGGTTGATAACTATTTAAAATTAGATTTATAAATATTAATTCCTTCCAACTATGTGTTTCTTTGTTTTGTTATCCATTTTTTAAAAACGTTCTGACAATACAAGTTAAATTTAAAAAACTAAAAAAAATTATGTAACTTTCAAATTTTTTTTTTTAAATTTGATTTAACAATTCTGATGTATTTATAAGAAAGAAGAAGATTATATCAAGTTATTAAATGGGGTTTACAATATTCTATTTTTCCAATCATAGAATAAATTCAAAATGGTAAGTGGTAACAAAAAATAATCATTAATTGTATTTTTCGATTCATCGTGTTTTCTATAAATTGAGATCCAACGGGTATCATTCAGACTAGAACATATAACATATCACATGGACAACCAATTAGAAACTCAAATAATTTGTAGCTGCATAAATTCTTTTGTTTTTTGTTGTATTAAATTCTATATCCATCCAATCAAATTTATGTATGAGATTTGAAATCATCAAGGAAAATGAAAATGGCTAATAAAACCACTCCTTATTCCTACCAATTTGTGCATTATTTTGAGGGTCTAATCACAAGACAAAAATAGTACAAATAATTTGCCATTACAATTTTTTTTTCTTTTTAGCCGTAATATTACTTGAAATTACTATCAGATTTATTTTGTATAGAAATCTAAGGTCTAAATTCTAAGTCGAAATAGTTCAAATAAGGTGTAAGATATTACTCCCGCATTTTTTGTTCATAATCTTAATTTCTCGCCAAAACTCATAAATAAAAGCATTAGTTAACATTCTTTAATTACAACTTTTTATTTGAAAATATATATATATATATATTTCTTGTAATTTTTTTTAACTGATATCTTAGATAACAAAGAACAGTAATCCAATACAGTTCTATTTTCCTTTCTTAAAAAAGAGTAAACAAGAAATACTCATCATTTTTTCTTTCTATCTAAAGAAACGGATACATTACCAAACGAGTGTATTTAGTCGGCAGTCAAGTCCACCAGAAATGAGGGGTTTTCTGGTAATTATAGTGTAAAACTAGAAGGTTGATAATAAAAATGATTGTAGCTATTTATGGAAGGATTGGTTGGAATAGTGAATTAGCTGGAAGTGAGAGAGATGATAAAAGTGGCACGTGTGTGTGTGACCAAGCTTTGCTTGATACCTGCATAGCAGACATTGCGTGCTTTTATACATTCATTTGCCTCAAAAACTCTCTCGCCTTTTCAACTTTACAACAAAGCATAATCATTCTTTTCAACCATCTCTTTGGAACTACAATCAATTAATAATCAACTAAGTTTTTCAATCTCTCAAAACTTCTTCACAATGATGCCATTGAAAAGTAATAATAAAACTAGTGAATTATTCACAAGTCGAATATACTTGTTCATAGTTTCTCTTTTCTTTAATCAAATCCTTCCTACCACGACGTTAAATTTCTTGACAGACATCAAAATACATTTAATTTAACTCTAAAATGAAAAGCTACTCGTTTCATGTAACCTAAACTATAACAAGTTACCCAACTTGTACTAACAACTAACACCTCATAAAAGTATCACTTTAAGTTTACAGATCATCATTCTTTTAATATTTGGTGACGGTAAGGAGTTGATAATTAGTCGGGAAAAAATCAAATACTAAGACAAATTTGAGAAACTGTGGGCCTGGTCACCTTCAATACAGATGTTTTTTTATATATAAAAGGGATGGAGGATAGTTTGTTAACATTATTTGTAAAAAGGCATCTGGATATCATAAGGAGCATATGAGACTTACAAAAGAAGGGCCTGAACTTTGGATTTTGTGGCTCTCATTTTCACAGCCTAGGAAAGTATTTTTGCTGTTGAAAAAGTTTAATGGTGTGACATGTGATATGTATGCGTGTGGCCGTGCTGCAAACAAGAAAAGAAGGGCACATGGTTAATAAAACATTAAGATATTGTAATAAACTAATCGTTACTTTACCCCAACTAGCAACCAAACAGAGTCTTGATCTCTGTGATGGGTCTAGAAAATGGAGTGGGAAGAGGGAACATCTGTCAATAAAATACTTGCTAATTCAAATGGTAATCATAGAGCAAAAGATAGCAAATCTTTATGGGCTGTTTGGATGGCCCTCACTTTACTTAAATTGTCATTTTAAGGGAGCAAATAGAATCAATTTGCTTTGCACAAAATCTTTCTTCTTTTAAATCAGCTTTTGGGGTGTAAAATTGGCCACGTTTTCAGTCTACTTCCAAGAGCATGAGGTAGAAATATGAGTAGTCAGAAGCCATGTAACAATGAGACATGTCTTGCTTTTTAATGAGAAAAACCAGAAAGGAAAAGAAAAATAAAAGAGGGAAAAGAGAGGGGAAACCAAGCTCCTGATTGGTTAAAAATTGCTGGAACCGAGGAGAATGCTTTGATTTGACTATGATTGGGAAAGGGAAAAAAAATAGGCTAAATTACAAAAAAAAAAAAACCTGAACTTAGCAATTTATTTAAAAGATATTCGTTCTTTCAAAATTTCAATACTACCGTTGAACAAACATCGGTTAATATTTTAAACAAAAAGTTGACATATTAGAAAGACATATCAATTGACGTGGATGTTGGGTTAAACCAAGAAGAGAGGAAATGTAGAAAAAACTCTCATTTCTTTAGGAGATTTAAAGTAAAATTAAGTAAATGAGGGAGAAAGAAGACTTTTAATCAGGATGTTAATTACCACATTAATTGGCACATTAATTGGCACATCATGTCACGTCAATTTTCTATTTAAAATATTAACAGATATTTGTTTTAAAGATACTTTCAAAATCAAATGTTGTATTAAAAATTTTGAGATGATTTTTGACATATGGACTTGACTCGATTTTATATATCTTTCTTTTAGAAATTGAATTTGACTTTGATTTTGACGGCCTGATGCCAGAACTTGTCCTTCCAGTCCGGTTGTTGCAGTTCTTAAATGCTGCCTCATAATGCAAGAAAGATGGAAGGGGGAAAAAAGCAACACATTAAAAAAAAAATAATAAAAAAAAACTCCTTGAGGAAATAATATTAATATTTAAGACTTCTGGATCTGGCCTACCCATTTGGCAAACATTTGTCACAAGGCTCAGCCTTTTCAAAAGGGAATCAAACATGTACAGAAATAAGAAAACAGAGTCAATAAAGACATCTTCAGATGTACCTTAACTAATAGACATCCCAAGCCAAGTAAACATAGACTATCAATTCATTATTCATAGACTTACAGTTTCTCTTTCACAAGAGGGGCATAGACTTGGAACCTCTGTGCCATATCAATCACTTCGAGTTCATCTATATACACAGCAATATTGATACTGCATTCAAGAAAACCAATGAAAAGTTTTTCCTGTTAAACCCAGCTCAGTTTAAAGACAACTGAATTTGTGCCAATTTAATATTCAAAGACATCCAAGCGAAAGGAATTGAAAAGATAAATTAATTTCAAGACAATGAGAATCTGCAAAAAGAAAGTACAATACACTCAGAACAGGTTTCAGGATTGCAAAGAGTTGGCTTGTATGATTGCAAAGGGTGTTTCAGATGCATTGTAGAGTAAGCAATAATGACAGCCATACCGTTCCCTTTGGTGACCCATGCTGCTCCATATGCTTTGTGGAGAAAGAAATTTGTCTTGTTTGTTGGAGATTGGAGTCACCAGGAGAGGAGGCCATTCTTTCTGAAGGATTTATACTTAATATAAATAGAAACAAGCCTCCTGATTACAATATTATATGATCTTTCAAGAGTAGACTCTAAGCATACTAAAAAAAGTAACAATATTTTTTTTCAAAAAGAAATTATGATGAAGTGATGTAGTCTAAGATCAAAGTCCGATAAACTTCTTTGAAGACCAATCAGAAGGTAGACAAATGCAAAGCTAAATTCCACAAGAAGAAAGCAGCACAAGTAATAATTGCTACAGAATGTGATGTTCTTCTTAAGAAAAGATTGTGAAATCAATATTTTTTAATTAAAAGAAGATACTTTTCATTGATACATCGAAAAGCTAATAGCAAAAACTTCACCCCCACATTAGGAGTTCACAAAATAGAGCTCTACTAAAATCAATTACTAAGAATGATTGTGTAACATTGAGAAGAACAAATCGACAAATGATATTCTTCTTCCCAAGTTCTTCCCTGTCATTGTATATTTTGATAGTTTCTTTCCCCGCAAAGAGTCCAAGAAATTGCTTTGATTGCCTTAATCCAAAGGATATTAGCCTTCCATTGAAAATTATGCCCACTCAATAATTGCATCATATTATCCTCGGGCGAAATAATCAAAAAGTCAAGAAAGGTTGAAGCAAAAGAGGATTCCAAATAAAATTTTCCTGTAAGAGCATGAGAACAGTAAACGGTCTTGAGTTTCTACTGATTTTCTTCACAACAGGCACCAACTAGGCAAGAGTCATATGCTGACACCCTTTTATCAGTCTCACAACCGTATTAAGCTTTCCATGGCATGCCAACCAGCAAAAAAGTTTCACCTTGTAGGATTTTAAAAAACTAATAACCCGTTCCGACAGAAGAAATTGATGGGACGTACTAACAAATTCATTTTCACTTACCATGGATTCATGAACATGGTGGAGAGAATTTTGTGAAGGATGATGTTATTTTGTTTGTACAGAGTTAGAACAATGACATGGGATACAAGAGCAGAAAGGGTAACCACCAAGGATTCTACATCTTCCTTTGAACTGAAATCATGAACATGGTGGAGAGGATTTTGTGACTAGGATGATGTTATTTTGTTTGTACAGAAGTAGAACAATGACATGGGATACAAGAGCAGAAAGGGGTAACCACCAAGGATTCTACATATTCCTTTGAACGGAAATCATTTTCAATTTCTCACCAACAAAAGAAACCAGTAGTGGGCCTTCCTTTTTCAAGCAAGATGTCCATGATGAGTAAATGAACTAAAGCATTTTCTGTTATAATGCAAGTTTAATGCCTTAACTAAAAGGCTAAACCATACAATTTGGGGATGGAGGGAGAGACACAAAGTATCTCCAGAGTTATATCCAATCACTTTTTTACAAACTTTGTCCGTTAGCATCACACTTTTAAATCTTTGTCGGCTGCCTTTCTATGAACCAAAATTGCGGCCCCGGCCACAATGTCTGATTACATTGGAAAAGGAAAGCTCTTCTCACCCATCACCAATGATCCCATGGCCCCAAACCAACATTAGGAATCTTTCAGAAGAGCATTCTAGCCCCCGACCTAGCATTTAGAGCTCGAAACAAGTCATTGGAAAAGAAGTCCCACAGCAGTTAATGTTAAAATTATGCATAAACCAGTTACTTGTAGCAGTCAATGTCGCAACAGCAGGTAGTTATAGCATTAATGATTATTTTTCCGTTTTAGATTCGAATAATCAAAAGCAACTGTATCAAAAGCCAAACTCAATCCTATTGGACCAACCACTTTATTCAGGGCAGATGTGGGCAGTGGGTCACAAGGACCCAAAGAAGGGCCACAAAAATAGAACAGTGTAACATCAGCTTTCCAGCCTGTAGCAGAAGTAATTTAGTAGAAAAGGCACAAGCTTCAATCTGCAAAGAAAATTGGATAAATCATTTTACCCTGATTACATTCCGACTTGAGTCCTATAATAAGCAGGTCGCAAGAAGGAAATATCATGAGCAGCCTGTATTATCCTCCTGCCAACTTACTGCAAATCGATGTTGTACATGAAATTCCATACTACAAAAACACCTATTCCATTTTAGAATACTGAGAGGATGGAAACTTATGTCATTAGTCTGTGTATCTCAGATATTGGAAAACAATAACACCCTTTAATTCCTATAACTCAACCATAGTGGCACTAGGGAAAAAAATATAAGGTATGCCCGCTATTACACCGACTTGATATTGAAATCCTTAAAGCAACGTGTATCTTCTTTTCATTCTTTGTTTCTTTATTTGTTGTTTGATCATGGTTGCATTTGGATAAACTGGATCGGACATACTTTTGATAAATCCCACAGGACTAGAGCCTAGCTCTGCAGTAATTAGAGCTTGTCAAAACTCATAGGATATTAACGTTCTGGGGAATGGCTACCAAGACTCGCATAAACTCGAAAATGTGTGCACAACTAATCCTTTTGCAAAAGGGCCAACCATGGTGGTTATATCAGTTGGCATCTTCAATCAAGATTGCAAGCGAAATAACTGATGCGTCCAACAATTTTAAATATTCACCTTTGAGAGAATGATGCAAACAAAATATCAAAAAGAACCGACAATGAAGCAAATGATCGGAACCTGAAATGCGGGAGCGGATATATGCAGCTCACAGCATAGAAAATTATATTAATATCAAGTCAACCATGATAGAAAATAAGAAATCTTAGTCCTGCAAGTACTTTTGATCTTGAGCCGAAACACAACCACGCTCAACAAATTGTAATATAAGCCTATCGGCCTCTTCCAATTTTCCTTCCATGAGAAGTCTCTTGCTAACCTTCTCACATAATTTCAAATCAGGAAGTAAATTTCTGTTGAACATTCGGCAAGCAACTTTATATGCTGACATAGGAATTCCAACACTTAAATAACTCTCCATAAGCACATGACATGTTTTAGCATCGATTCTTGATGCCGTCCTCAAAACCTCACATAAAAGGCTGTCAGCCTCCTCAAGGTATCCAAATTTACAAAGTTTCTCAATAACTAAATTATATGCTGTTCGGAATTTGCTTTTCAGAAGCATCTTCTTTAATAATATCAACAAATCTTCTACCCTACCCATTTGACAATACTGGTGGATGACAGTCCTGTATGTTACGGGAGAAGGAACCAACCCTTGCCTCAGCATCTTCATTGTAAGTTCACTAGCTTCTTCTATACGGCCAGTCTTGCCTAGTGCATCAATTAATGTTGTGTATGTCACAGTATCAGGGTGCTTGTTACAAAGGTACATATCATCCAACAATGACAGTGCAGCTTCCAAGTCATCTTTCTGACAAAATCCATGAATGACAGTGGTGAAATTGACTACATTAACAGCACAACCCTTGTTCATGCACTCCTTCAGTAGCTGCTCAGCTTCATATGGTTTCCCATCCCGGCAAAGAGATTGAACTAATAAGTTAATTTCAACCGGATTTGGAAAGAAACCTTTTCCGATCATCTCCCTGACTACATCGCAAGCTTCACTCAATTTCCCTTCCCGACGTAACCCATGAACTACAACACTATAAGTAATAGCATTAGGTGTCCACCACTCTTCCTCACTCATATTCATCATCTCTCTAGCTGCTAATGATTTTCCATTGCGGCAAAGACCATTTAGCAATGTTGTATATGTTACAGCATTAGGCTTGCAATGATGCTTGTACATCTGCTGCATTATCTTTTTTGCTTGATCAAGTTTCCCAATGCGACAAAACCCATCAAGGACAGAGGTGTATGTTACAACATCTGGAACACAGCCCTTTGAGAACATTTCACCAACAATCTCTTTTGCCTTCTTAATCCTTCCTTCCTTACAGTAAGCATGAACTATTGCACTATACTCGACCTTATCAACCTTAAATCGCAATTCTTCTGCTTCTTTTAGAATCTCTAGAGCCTCATCAGCATGACCATGCTTTGAAAGCATCTGAATTAAGGAATTGTAAGTAACATGGTCTGGTAATAAGTTACCATCCCTCTTCATTTTCTTCATCAATTCTCTAATTTCGTTCATCCTCTTATCTCTACATAGAAATCCCATGATGGTATAGTAACTAACTTTATCTGGGGAGCATCCCTTGGATGGCATTTGATCAATCAGTTCCATGGCTTGCTCAACCTGATGCACGTTACAGTGGCCCTTGATCAAACAGTTATAGGTCACAACATTTGGTGCAATGCCAATAAGAACCATCCGTTCTGCAAACCTCAATGCCTTCTCTAACTTGTTTCCCACGACCAAAATATGGATTGCAGTGTTACAAATCGACAAACTAGGTTCAACTCCTGCTTTCTGCATCAAGGTCAAGACCTTCATTGCATCTCTTAATCTTCCTGCCCGACTATATGACACCATTACAAAACCAAAAGCTTCAGGCCAAAGCTGAATTCCCCTACGAGTCATAAGTCGGAGAACCCGTTTAGCACCTTGACATAATTTGGTCTTACTAAGTATCTCAAGCATTACTGAGTACACGGATGAATCATGTCTATACCGCCACAGTCTATCTGCCCAATAGAAGAATCTCAAAGCAATTCTTTCATCATCCTGAGAGAGCAAAACAGCACAAACCTGTGGTGGACTAAGGCTTCTTACTAAGTGCCTCAGTTCGCCTTCGAGCTTCCGATTCCAAGAGGACCTTAGCTGGATCAATTTACAAGTCTCTCGCACTAGGGGATGTCTAAATTCACCATCACCGATTTCAACTCTTTTGAAATCATTTCCTTGTTCATGATTCCTATTAGACAAATTAGACGCCAACAGATCCCCATCATCATCGACATCCACACCTTCCTCTTCTTCGTCATTAGACTCTACACCCTCTATATCATCACCGAACTTAAAGTGCTGATCCTTTTCATAATCCCCATCAGGATTTCCGAAGAAACTCGAAACCCCGGAACCCACCAAATCTGTTTTTCGAAATTCTTCATTTTCATCATCAAATCCATTATTACTCCCATAAATATCACTGCAGTAAGTTCTAAAACAACGACCGAAACTCGCATCTCTCCAAGAGGAAAACGAGGAAAATGCGCCAAGTTCACTACATACTACAGCTATAGGGTGTAAACATAAATTGTCGAAGCATTTATAGACAACGCCATTTACAACAAAATCATATTTAGCACCGCCTTTCTGAAACTTATCTAGATAATTCAACTCATGGAATCTGATTTGCTTTCTACCTATTCTATAAGAGTAATTGAAAACGAATAACATATCATTATACTGGAAGGGAAACGGTGAAGGAAATTGACGAACTAGCGAGTAGCGATTTTATCCTCTTCTACTGCTTCGGAGTTGAAGATAACCAGTCTTTAGCCGCCCCGTCGACGTTCTTCAACTTCGCGGCGAAACGGCCCCCAAGGGTACCAAGAATTCACTTCGACGCGGTGAGCAAATTATTTTGGTTTGTAAATTTCTTTTTTCTTTAATTTCTCCTAATTTTTCTTGTTATTTTCCGTTACTTTCTTGTTCTTTTATTATTATTATTATTATTATTATTATTGAAAAAATAAATAAAACTGTGTTTACTGTTTAGGAACCTTCTTTGTTTTCTCAAGATTTAAATTATGAACAAAAAATGAAATTTTACATGAAGATTAATTTTTTAAATAAAATTATTATGTCGTATTTACTTTTTAAACATTTTTAACGCATTTTATAAATACAAGTTATTATGTTTTTTGAGAGTTGAGAATAAAAACAATCAAATAGATAAATAAATAATAAACAACAAACTCTATTTTGTTGCAAAGACGTATCTACTTTAACTAGAAAGTTGTGAGTTCAAATTATATTCTCGATACTCTATTCTTAAAAAATATAAAAATTACAAATGTAAACTAATTTTAATTTTGAAATCCTATTTTTGTGTATACTATTAACTTTTTCCCATTTTATTTTCGAAACATTTGTTTTGCTTTTTCTATACTATATTTAAGGTGTTGTTCTCATTTTTATTTCAATGTATACATCTGAGCTAACAAGATTATGCCTTTAAGACATTTTGATATTTTTTAAAGATTGAATGTTCAATCTTCATCCTCCCCTTTATATTAAAAAAGAGAGTGCACGACGTAGACAACGCCATAAATGTCGACGTTATCCAAAGTCTCCTCATAACCTTTCAAGTCAAAGATAGATTTTGATATTTTCATTTGAAAAAACACTCCTGACTTAGACTAAAAAAATAGGTGTCATATTTATATCATTGCACTTTCTAATGGCACGTAAGTAAGGTATTTGTCATCCTTAATATATAATATAAATGCAAAAATTTTAGATTCACCTGGTTTAATGCTTTAAAACGACAAATTTTAGGACAAGAAAAAATAAATCAAAGTATTGTTTTTTTATCCATGCTTCCTATATTTTTGGGTATACACATATTAAAGAGAGGCACCTAATCGTGTCCTTTGAATAACTATTTCAAGTGCTGTCTAATATTCTAATAAATAATTTTTTTTAGACGAGATACTTAACTCGTTAACTACAACATGTAAGGGTGGATACACCATACGGGTATGCATCATATCGATGGTTGCGAAATTATTAAGAATATTTTTTTAAGTATAGAAATAAAAATAAAAATAGAGGGGATATAATTTAACCAATTTATAGTTCATACATTTTTGTGTCACATGCCAAAGTGAGTTGAGTTAGTTGAAAATGGTTAAAAATGCTCGAAACCGTTGAAATCGGCGGGACTCGAAGCATCCATATAAATGCGCCAAATCTTCGAAAGCACATATTGCTCTTACCGAGAGGATTTCGAATTTTGGGGACGCAGATTTGGCGGGAAAATGTCGAGCCACCGCATCGGCGACAACGACGGCAACGGAAGTCGATCGGCGCTCGTCTTCCTGGGCACCGGCTGTTCGAATTCCGTTCCTAATCTGACTTGCCTCATCCAGCCACATGACCCCCCCTGCCGTATCTGCTCTCAGGCACTGACGGTTCCCCCGGAGCTCAACCCAAACTACAGGTGATTTCATCAGATTACTCGATTCCAAATCTACTTCCGAGGCTGCATTATGATCGTTTTGAGGAATAGGTGTTTCTGCATCTAGATTTGACTCTCTCTCTGGAGTATGAAATTTGGACTTAATTGCATTTAGATTAGGTTGCGTTGCGATTCTTGAATTGTATCAAGTCAGTCTCGCGGTTTAGAACAATGGCCTGAGGCAGTAGATCCAGCTTCAAAATTGTAATTATGAACAAAGAGCAGCTGGAATTTCTTTAGTTCAACCTAAGTTGTAACCGGACATAGATATATATGCTCACCGAGGCAATTGCTTGCAGTTTTACTATCCTCGATCGTTTCGTTCGTTATACATGCGTGCCTACATTTGGCTTAACTAAGTATTGTATATTTTCAGATGCAACACATCACTGCTCATTGATTATTGCCGAAGTAATGGTGAGCACAAGTACATATTAATCGATGTAGGGAAGACATTTAGGGAGCAAGTTCTAAGATGGTTTACGCGCCATGAGGTTACTCGAGTGGATTCTGTGAGTCGTTATCACTTGATCCTTCTGTTTTTGTACAATTTATGTGTAATTTGTTGCGAAGTTTTCAAAATAAAACGCACAGATAGAATGATCAGGACGCTATTTCTTTCTGCCACCATCATGCCTTTCGAAAGCAATTATCATTTGTCTTAATCTCGGATATGGACTTTTAACGTTCTTGAACTTTACATGGATCAAATTGCTACTTGTGCCAACTTTCTTGATATGAAAATTGATTTTCTTCTCAGTCGATCTTATTGGAACATTTTATTTGCAATATAATTGGTTCTTGATGATCCAAGGGGCATTTCTCTCTTAAATTTCTTCAGATTATTTTGACTCACGAACATGCGGATGCGGTTCTTGGTTTGGATGATATACGTGATGTGCAACCTTTCAGTTCCACAAATGAAATTAACCCGACACCTGTTTACCTAACACAAGATACGATGAAGAGGTACTCGGGTGGATATATATATATATATATATATATTTTTTTTTTTAATAAATCGATTGATTTCTTTTTTTTGTTGTTGTTGTTGAGGGGGCTTCTTTTCCTTTGTTTTAAATGTTGAGCAAGCTACTCGTTCAAAGATATTTCATTAGATAGATAGACGATATACATGCTGATGGAAGAGTTCTCATCATTGGCACAAGATATGGAGGCTTTCTGACTTCTATTTTTTCTCCAGAAACGATTTCCAAGATGGTTTCATTTTGCTTTTTGTTTCTTCCCGATAATTAATAGAATAACAATAAATGGAAGCCATCAAGGTTTTCATTTATATAGCAAACACTCTTTACTTGCTCCTTGCCATCCAATAACTTCTAAAATGGTTCCTTGTAACTCGTGTAGCTCTGTGCAATTGATGTATTTTTTTTTTTCCCTGACTAATATTCTTTTGCATTCACAATCAGGCTTGACAACAAATTTTGTTCCTATTGTGGATATCATGTATCATTTCACGTCTTCCACAATTTGAGTTACTACTTGTTTTTGTATCATTTCACATCATCACTATATAACATACTATTAGCGTGAAATACACCAGGGAGTACTTTATTCTTTTTCATAGCAGTGGTGTCAATTGTAAGTGCAAAGAAGCTCTCTCATGGCATAAATTTTTAAGCTTATCTCTCTCATTTTTAGTTTTTCTTTCCTAAATTGCAAATTTAGCTGGAAAATATTGTGCAGTCATTTTCTGTTTTTTTGGCACAGCGTAGCAATGAGGTTCCCGAACTTGGTGAATAAAGGACTTAGAGAGGGCCAGGAAGTGAGACGGGTAGCACAGCTTGACTGGAAGATCATCGAGGACAGTTATGAGAAACCATTTATTGCTTCAGGCTTACAGTTTATTCCTTTACCAGTTACGTCACCAAGTCTCTCTTATCTTAACTATCTTACAGACAGATATTTCCTCTGTGCTCCTCCTTACCAGTGATTGTTCGACTTCAGGTTATGCATGGAGAAGATTATGTTTGTGTGGGTTTTCTCTTTGGGGAAAAATGTAAAGTAGCCTATGTATCTGATGTCTCACGATTTCCTCCAAGCACAGAACAGGGTCAGTGTTGTTTCTTTCATTCTCCTTTATTTGAATATGTTTATGTTTATGTTTCTATTTTCTTCCACTTCACTTTTGGATATTACATGACATTGTGAAATGTTGACAGATCAATTGATTAAGTTTGCAAACGTCCTCTAAGAGCACTCGAGGGAAATATGATACGCTAGGTAGCTGGAGTAATGTTTGTAGGGAAACTGCTAACTTCTTATAATGCTACAAATGATACTAAGCCAGAAACGTCCTATTTTTTTTTTATCGGAAATATGGAAAATAATTTCAAAAAATTTGATTAGTATCTTGATACTCTGTTTACTGGCTCTAGAAGATTTTCATCGATTTAATCTGGAGGGAATCTGAAGTCCCTGGGCAAAAAACAGGTTCTCAAGAAACCTCTTTCATTAATAAATCTGGAAAGGTTCCACGTCCAGAACTAAAATTTTGGGGAGCTGCCTTGAACCCCTTATCCTTGGCCTAAAAATATCACCTCTGTTCAGATTTTTCTTAATCCTCATGTTTAAGCCTTATACTGATGAATTTATTTTCTTTGCCCTTGAGTAGTCTACTAGGTCAACATATCAAGTATACTGCTTCTTTTATTATTTTTTCCAGCTGAAAGCTTCAAAATCTTGTTGCTCTAAAAAAGTTGTATGGTATCTTAAACTTGGCGATTTTAGTATTTTTGTTTTCTTTTTTTTGTCCATGGGTTGAAGGCTAAAGATCTACTTGCCATGCCATTTAAAAAGTAATCTTCCAATTGTGGAAAAATTCTAAGCATGAGAATATTTATTTTATGTCTCCATGCTATATTTTGCACCGCAGTCATTTCAAAAAGTGGAGCTGGGCAGTTGGATCTTCTTATCTTGGATGCACTACGTAGGGTCAGTAACACAAATCTGAAGAAATTTATTCTATGAAGTTTTTCATCATGCTAAACCTTTTATGTGCATGATAGCAATATCCTAGTTTTTTTTCCATGGATCCATATGAGAAGAGTTATGTGATTAAATATATGTTTGAGTCCCTAATGTTTAGAATTTTCTCAATTTAGTTCCTTATGTTTTAACATGTTTTTATTTAATCTTTTATAGTTGGTGAATGTTAAAATTATTTGATAATAAACTTAAATGACAAAATACTTAGTGAATCGGTAGAAATTTAAAACAGACATTCAAAATTTTTACCAATTTAAATTAGTAACGTTCCTCTCTTAGATGTCATTTTTTCCTCTAAATTTCTGCCATTGATGTTTATTATTAGCTAATATTAACATTCACCAACAGCAAGGGCTAAATTGTAAAATGCAAAAACACTGGGATTAAATTGAAAAATTTTAAATGCTAGCCACTATATTGAAAAAATTCGCAAACATTAGCAACTAAAACAAAGACTTAATTTACATGGTCATTTGGAAATCATATTGAAGCCAACTAGCTCACACGCTTCCTTTTGTTAGATGGCTTCTCCCGTGAATGTGAAATACTGTTAGTTATCGTTTCATGTGAAATGTAAGGTGAGCAATACTTGATTGGGTTTTATAAAAGTTGCTGGAGGTACGTACAAGTTTCGTCGTGTATAGTTGAACTACAACTCGATGAGAGGATTATCCTTGGAAATAATATAAACTAAGGAATTATAAATTAGTGTACTCTTAACTCTTATTTGTCGACTAAAACAACGGATCAACTGCAAGAAGTTGAAGTACAACCAAATAGCAGAACTAAATATGACGGTCTTAAATAACTTCTGTTATTTTTGTATTATCTAATTCCCTCTGTTGGCGGTCATCTATATAAGAGATTGCAAAGAAGTGACTTTTTTTCTGTTTGGTGAATGTACCTTGTAAATTGCTGAAACATTAGTGAATTGGCTCCTAAGCAAGCGGGTATAGTGTTGGCTCTCATTTTCTGGAGCTGGACCACTCTAAAATCTGATTTTCTTGCTTCTCTAGATCTTCTTTATTACTTTTTTTTCTGTCTTAATTTGAACTGGTCGTGACCATATAATTCTTGGGCTAATCTTCAACACTGTCAAATGAAGAGTTAATTTAAGAAAATTTTGGTTGGTTGATGCTTATGAAATTCACCTCGTACCCGTTTTATGCCTTGTGTTATTCTAATTTTGCAAATAGTTTTGCTTAGATTCTTCATTTCCCCTTCTCATTGCAGACTGGATCCCACAATGTCCATTTCTGCCTTCCGCAGGTTTTGTAGACATCTTTATGAGTTCAGTCGTTTGAATCTCGTAATTACATAATTGACATATCTATTAGTGTCTTTTGACAGACTCTTGAAGCAGTAAAGAGGATATGCCCAAAGCAAGCCATGCTAATTGGAATGGGTCATGAATTTAATCACCACTTGGATAATGAGTTACTTAACGAATGGTCTAAAAGGTATAACATTTACAGTCTTATCCTGAAAAAGGTAACCAATTAAGTTATAAGAGATACATTCAATGAGTGTCCTGCGCACTTGGCTGTCAAGTTACAGAGATCGTTCCACTGTTCCTCAGTGATTCTATTATCTTTAAAGGACTAAATGAAGTTGGATTGACATGGTTTTTTGCATTTTATACTGTAAGCTTTCCCCAGATGGGATGTCCGGAACTGGTCTTTATGTTCTATCATTGTACTCATTCAGGGAAGGAATTCCAGTGCAGCTTGCTCATGATGGCCTTAAAATCCCTATAGACCTATGATGAGGTAATATATTAATATTTATTCATTCAGGTCCTTTAAAGGTACTTCATGATTACCATTAACTTCTCCCTGGGCTATTCTAAATGGTATTAATTACAAAAGCTCAGTGGTTCCGGTCTTTTATTAGATCAAACAAGCGAAGAAAGTAGACCAAAGCATCCACACCCCATGGGTAGATGTGTTATTAGAGAATGGTAGCATCTTAATGAAGCATAATTGTACTTGAGGGCTTTCCATTGACAACATTAATTTTGTGTCCTACTGATGTTGGAAGGGAAAATGAGAATAAGAGTTGATATGGAATTTAAATCCCTTGTCTGAACTACAGAAGAATAACGGGGGGTTGATACGATTCGTCTTTATTTAAGTAGGTACAACGAGTGTAAGGGGGAAAGTATTCAAACCATCAGACACTGAAAAGTTCAAACCAAACATACCAATCAGAAAAGTAGAGAAGAAACTTTGTTCAAACTAAACCGCCAAAAGTTTGAAGGAAATGGAAGAAAATTGGCAAGCACATGAGTCATGGGACCCATTTGGAAAGACGGAACATAATTATGCAATTCCTTTTAACAACCCCACGATCTCCTTCCTCAATTTCTCTGTTCGTTCTGGAATCTTCCACAGTAAAGATTGGAAAAGTTAAAATTTAATGATAGGAGAGACAAATGGAACTTATGGTATGCAAGGTAGGACACTATGTGAATAAAGCTCGGAATAGTTCTTGTTTTCTTTGTCTTCTTAATAATAATATGTATAGGGAAGCTCTTTTATTTCCGAATATTTTATTCCTTGGAGACATCATGGAAACGGACTTTGTAGTAGTAGAGTTTATTACTGAACTTCTGTTGCAAAAAGTGCTGCTCACTGAACCAATCATGAAAATTTTTAGCCTAAATTTTTAATTTTTGCTTTTTTCTTTTTTCCTTTTAAGGTTTTTTAGAACTTTTTTCTCCTCTTATTTGCATCTGTAGTTGAATATTATAAAAATTTGACATTTCTTATTATTTCTATTTTTCAAGGAAAAGTAGATGAATGGTACATTGGAGAGGCGAGGGAAGACCCAACAAAGATGTACCAGAAGCATTGTACTACGATAGAGAAGTTTGAGAGAAAAAGGTAAGTTTTTTACATACCATACCATACTCTGAACTTTACACATTTGCATTTAAATGTACTTGGGAAATTCTAAACTTCTTTCTCAATGCTCAGAAACTTTGGGTGAAATTTTTGTCACTTCATTAATGGGTTACTTAGTTCCAAGATAAGGAATTTTTTAACTTTGTCTATAAAGCAGAAGAAAGAACGATATTTGAATTCGTTTAAATTACTGGTAACCCAACACCTGTAGAAAAATCTGTAGAAAAATCTTTGATCAAAGATCATAAGGAAATAAGTATGATGTGGTTCATCTGTCGTAACCCAACACCTCCCCATTTGAATAGAATTTGGATGCTCTGTCCTTCCACTGATCATCCAAGATCTTTTCAAAGATCATAATAATATCCTACTCCTGGTCCCCCCCAACCCAAAGGATCCTGATGAACACAAATCTTAGCCAATGATCTGATAGATTTACTAGTGATTTTTGTCTTCATCACATTTTTGGATATGGTCACTTACCCCTCCCAAGTCCCACCTCTCTCCATTTTATGGCCAACCTTTCTACAATAAATTCCAAACAAGGCACATTCTTTTTACACAGACTAGGTACCAGTGAGGACACCAGAATTTCAATTGTAAATAAATTGGGATTTCCCTGTTTAACCATCATTACAGCATTACAGGTTAATCCAAGAGAAATTGTTCAATAAGATTATCCTAGGGAGGGGAGGGACAAAGTAGAGAAAAATTATAGGTTAAAACAGGTCGTATAGTTTTGCTATTTATTTCCTAAACTTTTGTTTGTACCGATTTAGCCTACAACGGGTAACAATTTAGTCTCAACATTAAACATTTGTATGTGACAATCTAGTCTCTGTAATGTTAAAATTTGTAACAGTTTAGTTTCTACCGTGAAAAATTTTATTGAATGTCTATTTTTTTATCCTCTAATGATTTAATCTTTATAATTTATAAACACATTTGGTTCCTCTCATTGGTCGATCTATTAAGAAACTTAACAAAAAAAAAAATTCAGACTAAATTGGTACAACCTTTAAACTATAAAATTATTAACTAAAGTTCAGGGACTAAATTGTTATCAATTTGAAAGTACAAGGATTAAATTGTTACAAACTAAAATCGTTACTTTAATAATCATAGGATCAAATGTTTTTTTTTTATTTTTTATTTTTAAGTATTTCAGTTGTACTTATTTTAACTTAGGATGATAAACTAAAACTTACTTCCTACAAAGCTTTACGTGATGAGATAATGATTTATACCATGTGGAGATCATGGTATTAAATATTTATCGACGCGTTGACATTTCTATCGATATGTTTATGTATCAATGAATTCAACAACTACATGATGGGTAAATTGAAATTTCCATCATAGTACAAAAAAATTGACAAAATATGAAAAATATCAACAAAATGCCGTAAATATATACATAATATTAATATTAATTATTTTGAACTTATTTGGAAATAAAAATATTTATTTGTTAATTGAAATATATTTTTACGATTTTCTAATTTTTACAGAAATATGTATCGACATTAACATTGTATCGATATTTCAATGCAAATCTAAGATTCCGAAATTTTCATAGACATCGACACGATAGATAAGTTTTGAGAGTTGGGTCAAAAGGAAGTAATAAAACAAGGAAGTGGTGATGGAAAGAAGAAAATAGGATATAGGATGGAGCCGAAATGTCTAAAAACGTGGAGGGTATGGTCAAAGAAAGCAGCTAAGGAGTCAAATCATGTCTGTATTTGTTGAAACATAAGCAAATGGTCAAAACAAAACCAACAAGGACGTGTAATTCATGCCGTAACATAATAACACACACCGACCCATCACGTGACCATCACTTTGATTCTTCATAAAGAATGTTTTTGGACTCCACACTTTCACCTCCCCCATCAAATTCTCTTCAAAAATATGATCTATCTATAGTTTTATATTTTCTTGGAAAACTACTTATTATTATTATTATTATCAATACAACCAAGAAAAGAGAGTGATGGCTTCATTTGGGAAAAGTCATGATTAATTTAAAGGAAATCTTTTGTTGATTAGGTTCTCCCTCTCTTTAACCTTTGCCTTGGGCTTTGAGTTTATAGGATATTGTTGATTAGGTTTTCTCGAGACGCTTTGGTTTTATTTAACTTTTTTTTTTGGTCCATTTCTACTCATTGCTTATTAGTGTGGTTTGATTTGAAAAAAAGTATGATTAATTTGATTTCTTTATTTGAGGTTTGGGTTCATCCACGTGTATTTTTATCAAAAGGATTCTTCTTTTCTCTTTTGATGTTTTTTTTTCTAATTTAAGATAATATCAAATAGAGATAATTTGTAGTTGATAAAGAAATTTAGTAGAGAGAAATATGTCAAAGAAAAAATATAAATAAGATTATGGAAAATATAAACCTTCTATAAAAACTAGTTTTTTTTAAACTTACATAGAATTTAAAAAACGGTTTTAGAAAATATAAAATTGAAAATTAATTGGTTATCCAACAAACTTATTTTTCCAAAAGCAGAAACTCAAAACAAAAAATAGAAAACGAAACGGGGCCTTAGATATTAAAATTCTTTCCTAACTTTTTCTGTGTTTTTTTTTTACCATAAATAGTGCGAGAATCTGAATTTAAAGAAATGAAGTATATACATTTGTGGTACGACTCTCGACACATAATCTTTTTTGTTATTATATTAAATAAAATACATATATAAGAATTTCGAAATAGAGTAGGTCTAGAAATTTTGAAAAAACACACACAAAATCCATCTTCAATCTAATAGGAGACTTCCATAGTGAATTCTGACCTTGGCCTCATGAAGAATTAAAGGTATATTTTGCAGGGGAAAATGGCCCCATTTTGGAAAAGAGTCCTAAAAGGGAATTTTGATTCTTCCAATAGTTGGAATTTTTTTGGTGGGTGTCTCTTAATATATTATCCCAAAATGTTTGCCTACAAACCCTATATGGAAACAAAAGTAACCAATTATTAATTACAACGTTTTCCAATAAAAACCATAATTTTTTTTCAGAAGTCCTAATCGAATATTAAGTTTAAAAATAACCAAATGGAATATGATTTGCTCGTGACTCGTATCTTTCAACTTGTCCTTTTTTTTGTTTAATTTTAATGTATGACTGATATTATGAGATTAATGTATGAGAATGTCTCGTTTATTTTGGATTAATGTCTATAAAAAGTTAATATTGGTTCTGTTATCTTTTTACACATACGAAAAATTCAATATAAACATATTTGTTTTTTTAAATAAATATATATATTTTTCATATTATATACATGAAAAGCGACCAACCAGCCAATTATTTGACTTTGATTCATATGAAATTGATGTTTAACTTATTTATTGGTTTTTTTTAAGTCCTTTTCTCAAAAGATAAAATTTGACTGTTCAAAAAATAGAATGCATGACAACCAAGAGTAAAGATTCATAAAATTCTAACAATTTGATGGATCTTGTTAAATTGATTTTTTATTTTCAATTTTGAAATTGGTCATTTTAAAGTGTTAGAATAATATATTATTTCATCGTTATTTTATTTTTAGTACAACATATGAAGTGAGGATCGAATTCACAACTTTTTTATTTTAGTGTTCTTTTCTTATTTTAGAACAATAAAAATTATCATTCTTGTGATAGGACCCTACTTATATGAAAAAAAGGTTAGTTCAACTGTATAATAATATCATATTTTAAAATAAACTCCAACAATTATTATTTCAAATAATCCATTTTCAAACAGCTTTTAAATATAAAGAGGTCTCATAATGGAAAATAAAAAAATAAAACTGACCTCATACAAAAAGAAAAGAAGTTAAGGGAGATTATATAGTAGGGATGCCAGTCAATAGGGTCAATTTATAAAATTCTGAATCCCACACCCCTATTTTTCTTTTTATTTTTTAAATATTTTTCCTGA